ATATATATATATATATATATATAATCGAGGGTGTTGATATAATTCGAACGAATTAAGAAATTAGAAATTTACCGTCCACGTTGAGAATTACAACCAAGTGAGTCGTAAATCGATAATAAAAGTATATAGACAAGTTGTATTTAATCGAAAGTTCAAAGCATATAATTTCGGAAGACGGAAGCCAAGAAGATTGTCTATACGTTTCACAACGAGAAGTCACGATTGTGTCGTGTAAATGAACTGAATCTTCTCTCTCTCTCTCTTTCTCTTCGACATTGCTGACAAATAGAGCTCCAAACCAAAACTTAGATTAGTTTCTGGACTAATTCGCGCTTCGTTATTAGTATATATATACACACATCTCTGATTGATTTGAATTTGCGAGGTATATATATATGTCTACATATGTAGTAGTAGTAATAATAGTAGTAGTAGTAGTAGTAGTAGTAGTAGTAGTAGTACTAGTAGTAGTAGTGGTAGTAGTAGTAGTAGTAGTAGTAGTAGTAGTAGTAGTAATAGTAGGAGCAATAGTACCAGCAACAGTAGTAGTAATAATAATAGTACGAGAAATAGCAGCAGCAGTAATAGTACTAATAATAGTACGAGCAATAACAGCAGCAGTAGCAACAATAGTAGTAATAGCAATAGCAGTAGCAGCAATAGTAGTAGTAGCAGCAGAAGTAACAGCAATAGCAGTAATAGTAAGTAGTAGCAGCAGAAGTATCAGCAATAACAGCAATAGTAGTAATAGCAATAGCAGTAGCAGCAATAGTAGTAGTAGCAGCAGAAGTAACAGCAATAGCAGTAATAGTAAGTAGTAGCAGCAGAAGTATCAGCAATAACAGCAATAGTAGTAATAGCAATAGCAGTAGCAGCAATAGTAGTAGTAGCAGCAGAAGTAACAGCAATAGCAGTAATAGTAAGTAGTAGCAGCAGAAGTATCAGCAATAACAGCAATAATAGTAATAGTAACTGCGAGTAATGGCAAATGATGGCAGGCCGCAGATGGTAGCAGGTAACGATAAGTGATAATAGATAGTAGTAGATAGTAATAGTAATAACAATAACAACTATTAAAAACTATATAAATAACCACAGACAACTACAAAATAACTATAAATAACTATAACTAACAATTGCAACGAGGAAGATAAATGTAAAGATAACGATAACCATAAACATTTTATTTTTATTTTTATAGATAATTTATATATGGATGGACATAAAAAAAAATGATGTATATATATATATATGTATATATACATTTTTTTCTACTGCTCTTAATGAAAGAAATGTTCAACTGACTTTTAATTTATAATCATCCAACATAATATAATACCAGATATAATAATCATTTTTTATTACAATATATATATATTTTTTTATTTTGCTTTTCATAAAAAAAACTCAAGATTTGAAAAAGAAGATGTGTGTGTGTTTGTTCACGTGTACGTGCGCGCACGGAGCGTATATGTAGGTATACATATACGTATATATGAAAAAAGAAAAAAGAAGAACGAAAGAAAAGAAGATCGGTGGGCTCGTAAACGAGAAAATCGAGAATCGAGAAGCGAGAATTTGGAATCTAGCTTGGTATCTACGAGTGTGCGTATGGCTATGACAGGAGCGTGACGAAGTGCTAATAATACGTACAACAATGGGACAGGGCCGGGCGTGCGCGCGCGCGCGTACGACCAACTGAATACATAGAAGGAGAACTCGATGGAGGAACGTGCGACGATCTCGAGGAACGTGCCCTCACGGTACCAACAATACTCGCATAGATACCACCAATATTTTACGAATTAATGAAATTATAAGTTATCCATCTATATAAATTTTAATTCTATAATGTCATTATCAACTTTAAATCTTATTACATTATGTTTATTTATTGCTAATAAATTAGTTATATTTAGTATAGTATGAATATATTATATTTAGTATAATATATTATGTAGTACAATATATTTAATTATTTAAAAGTGTGTAATTGAGTGATTTAATATATTTAATATATTATACTATATTTATATTTAATATAATATAGTTATATACTAATATAACTTATATCATACATATAAGGTTCAAATTATATTGGATTATTCATTTAATAATAATATCTATATTAATAATATTAGTATTTTTTTTCTGTTTAATAAAAATTTCATAATTACTTATTGAGAAATCCAATATATATAATTGTTTTTAGGTAAAAAATGTAAAAAAAATTGAATAATCGAAAGTTAAACGAAAAAGAAAGAAGTCCATGATAACGCATAATAATCATACTCTAAATCGCAATATACAAACAATAACTATACAAATGTTCGCATAACGTCAAACTCACATTCTCGTCGGTAGTCACATTTCCAAAGGATAACGATGGTTCTTCGTAGGGGAAAACTAACGGAAGGAGTGTTGGAATGCGAGACAAAGATCAAGAGTGTAAGAGAGTGTAAGAGAGTGAAAGAGAGAGAGAGAGAGAGAGAGAGAGAGAGAGATACAGAGACAGAGACAGAGACAGAGACAGAGAGAAAGAGAGAGGTATAAAGAGAGAGATAGACAAAGGTGAATGTGTGCCCTCTCGCGAGGTGAGCCTGGATGCTGGGATAGAGGTAAGTATGGAGGATTGGGTGAGTTGGAAGGGTAGAAGGAGTATAAGAGAAATAGAGATAGAGAGATAGACAGACAGAGAAAGAGAGAGAAAGAGAGAGAGAAAGAGAGAGAGAGAGGGAGGGAGAGAGAGAGAGAAAGAAAGAGACAGAGAGGGAAGGAGAGAGATTGGGAGGGTGGTGAAAGCAAGCTATTTCTCAGCTTCAACAGCAGGGCTTTTCTTCGCGAGAATATATCGACACGTCAGGAACACACTGGCCCGTTTACAATATCCGCGTATAGGAGGCCGTGTGCGCGCCTATATTTTGACCATCTCTCGCGCGTCATCCGAAGGGTGCCGAGAACGTCGTCGATCGCGCCCTTGGATCTTTTCCTTATCACTTCCGATAACTGAAGAGAATGAAAGAAAGAAAGGAAGAAAAAATGAAAGAGAAAAGAAAAAATAAGGATGAAGTCACGAATTTGTTTTCCACGACTTTTACTTTTTCCCAATGATATTGTCTTATTGAAAAAGAAAAAGAAAAAGAAAGAAAACAAGAAAGAAATCTTTTTGAAGTTTATATCGTACCATGACCTAGTAGAATAAGAAATGTAAGGGTCAATGAGATCACATGGTATTTTTTCTTTTTTTTTAATTTTTCAATGATACGAATATAAAGAATGTGACATTGTTCTTTCGTGAAATATGACCTCTTTTAATATGAAATTTTATTGCAATTCAAATGTTTCGATGATTTGTACAATTTTATGATCTTGTTATAGTTAATAAATCAATGTTGTAGTCTCATCAGATGTTTTCTTTTCGTTGAAACGTGTCAGATTTGAATTTTCAGCATTGGATTTGTTTCTTTGTAGAATGTTTTAAAAAATCTTTTCAAAGGGCTTAAATATTTTTGGAACATAGATATTCATTATGTGTATGCTTGATAGGATATTTTCGAATTGACGTGCATATATATATATGTATATATATATATATATATATATATACACATACACACGTATAGCTATATGAGAAAGAAATAAAACAGAGAAAAATGTGCGAACCATTATAAAATTACATACCTAGTCAAGCTGACGTCTAATTCAGAAACACTTCGTGTGTTTCATTCACAGTACACAGAATCCACCTGTTCTTGTCCCAAGCGTTACACGCTATTGTACTGAAACCTCGAGCGCAGCAGCATCTACCAGTTTCCAGTCGAAAACTCTCGCGATCTCTGATTGTTCAACTTGAAAGCTTTTCGACGTATGTTAAAAAAAAAAACAAAAAAAAAAATGAAAAAAGTAGAGGAAAATTAATTATATTACAAAAAAAACGTGTTTGTTAGTTTCAATATTTTTCATGTTAATTATCAAACTAGAAATAAATTATTAAATTATTATCAAATTAGAAAATTGTATATTTCAAATTACAATAAAATTTATCTATTCACAGGAGGAAAACAAATTTATATCAATTTTCTTTGATAATCATATCTCAAAATAGTTATCATAATCATAATCATAATTATAATTTACTCAAATGAAATATTTGTTAATGTTAATGATCGTTTATTCGGCCAGATAAAATTCTTTCGATTTTGTTTTCATTCCTTTTCTTTTTTTCAAATTCCAAAAGAGTAATTTATAAGAAAAACAATTTTCGATCAATCTTTTGTAAAAACTAAATCTTCTTTAATAAAACGACCATAATTATAATAATAATCCAAAAAAAAACAAAAAGTCCGTATTAATCAATAATGACAATCGCTTGTTAAATCGAATAAAATTCTTTCGGAGTTTTATTCATTTTCAAATAGGAAAAAGTTTATGAGAATATCAATCCTCAATTAATCCACTTTAAAAACCAAGTTTCAGATCGACGATAATCATAATCATAATCCAACTAAATGAAAGGAAGTCCAGGAACGTAAATCAAAGCGGTGCGGACCGCTCGGTAAGAATTTCTATCACTATTTCGGTACAACGAGTTCCCCGTACGCGACATAGTGTGTCTGGAAACTAAAGAAGAAGAAGAAGAAGAAGAAAAAGAAGAAGGAGAAGAAGAAGGAGAAGAAGAAGAAGAAGAAGAAGAAGAAGAAGAAGAAGTAAAAGAAGAAGAAGAAGAAGAAGAAGAAGTAAAAGAAGAAGAAAAGAAGAAGAAGAAGAGGATGAAAAGGAAGAGGAGAAGAGAGGAGTGAAAAGAAGCAAAAGAAGAAGAAATGTGTACCGCAGGTTAAGACCAGCCGGAGGTTCCCTGCTGGCAAACCATCTCTTTCTCTTCTTCTTCAGCCTCCCTCCATCACTCCCTCACTCCGCTGCAATCCTTCCCTCCTCTTCCTTTGCCGCCACCACTTCGTCCTTTCAGTTCACCCGCGGAGACACTCAGTCGGCTACCGACAGCCGTGCGCGCATCACGTTTCGTCTTATTCGTTCGTGTTTTTATATTCGAATGAAATTTTAATCGTCGAAATAGAAATAGAAATAGAAAGATAAATATATATATATATATTCCCGACAAAAAAAAAAGATTATTTTCTAATTTTTCATGGATATATAATATTATATATCGATTTTATCGAGTTTAATATCTAGGGTATTATCTTTTTCGATTGGAAAAAAAAAAGAAAAAAAAAAGAACTGGATTATTTGCTATTTCTATTCTCGAAATTGAATTTGGGATTGGTTAGTGCTATTTCAAAGAAAAGAAAAAATAAATACATAAATTAAGTGCATTATGAAGTACATCGGTGAGATAATCTGACTGTCCGATGATATTCAAGTGATTAACAATTACTCGAATTAGTGATTATTATTTTTTTTTTATCTTTTATTTTTTGTTTTTGTTTTTCGCTTTCTATTTGATCTTGGAAAGAATTGCTGGATTTTTTGAAAACTTCAAAACTGACTCGGAAATCGCGCCGATCGAAGCACAGGTGAGAAATTTCTTTTTCTTTTTATATATATATAATATATATATATATATATAAATCTATGTACGTATATATGTGTATATATATATATATATATATACATATATATATATATATATATATATATATATATATATATATATATTTATATATTCTTCTATCGATATAAAAGTCGATAAAGTTTCTGCGAGATAAATAAAGAAAAAAAAGAAAAGTAAGAAAAGAAAGAGAGAGAGAGGGAAGAGTAAATAAGATAAGATGAACGATAAGCAAAGGCCGAAAAATCATGTCCGTAGGCGTTTGCGCGCGCACACGCACGTGTCTCCTGACATCGCGGAAGAGAGAGAGAGAGAGAGAGAGTGAGAGAGAGCAAGAGAGAGAGAGAGATAAAGAGAAAGAGAAAGAGAAGGGAGACAGAAAATGAACTGATGGTAGAGCAAAAGAAAAAGAGAGAGACAGAGAGAATCAGAAAATTGCCCCGAAGGCAAAAAATAAGCTGCAGTAAAAGAATTCTTGGGAACTTATGGTTTTCTTCAGAAAAAAATGAAAGAAAAAAAAAATAGAAAGAAAGAAAGATAAGAGAAAAACTGTCAAATGCATTCTTTTGCTAGTTATTACGTTACTCGAAGCATATGTATATTCTTTATTTTGGTTAATGAGAATATTTGGTTATAGAGAAAATTTGATTCGTACATTTCTAGAACCTTTCCGTCTTTCTCTCTCTCTCTCTGTCTCTTTCTTTCCCTCCATCTATCTTTCTTTTTCTTTCTTTCTTTGATGAAAAATAACGTGAAAGGTCGATAAATATATTCAATAATATCTTGAGAGTATAAATGATGTAATTTAATTAGTACATGGTCGATAATAGTATGAATTAAATCGTAATGATATTTAGTTACTTTTATTTCACTTTATCTTTGTGCACGGATTAAGCGTTATTAAAATTGACTAACTTAATAACGAACCACAAGAAACGCGTCAAGTACACATGCGCTTAGCTAGTAGTCGAACTACCGTTAACGAGCTCTCGTAATGAGCTCGGGAGTTCGATTAAAAGTCACCAAATTTCGAGAAATGTGGAAAATTCCACATTTTAATGAACGTTCCATCTTATTTTTTAGATATAAAAAATATATATTAACGTTTAAAATTTATTTTGAAAAAGAAAGAAGAAAAAAAAGAAAAAAATTAAAAAAAAATACTCAAAAAACTTTATAGTCTTTAAAAAACTATTACAAAATTTTTTTCAAACCCAATAACGTTATTTCCCGAAAGGGGAAAAACAATTTCAATGTAACAGATAGATATTTTTTTAGTTTGCTTATAAAATGATACGAGAAATACAGCTTTTAATCCTTGAATCGATCGTAGGTATTTAGAAAATGTCTTTTATGTCTGAATACGTCCATATGTGCGTATATATGTATACTTGCATGTGTGTGTGTATGTATATATATATATATATATATATATATATATATATATATATACGTGTGCGTGTATGTACAAATGTGTACCCATATGTATGTACGTATATATGCGTTTATATGTACGTGTGTGTACGTCTGCAAGAGTAAACGTAAGTGAGCGAGACACACGCGGGTTGGCGTTAGCGTGTTATACCAAAGTATTATATCGATTAACTGTTGGCAACAGAAGAGAGAGGCAGAGGAAAGCTTGTTGGAGGGTGGCATGGCTTTGGCTTTCCTATATTATTAATCTTTCTCTCTCTCCGTCCTCTTCTTCGCCTCTCTACCTCTTTCCTTTCCTTCCTTTTCTCTCTTTCTCTCTCTCTCTCTCTCTCTCTCTCTTTCGACCCAGTCAACCCCTCGGCAACCTCTGCACCCCACAGTCGGTGCTGCTGTCGGCTGAACCTGCCGTATATGCGTCCGTCGAGTCAGTCAGGTGTTGTGGGCAGCTTCCGTGGCTCAAAGAGAATCAAGAGTCACGACAGAGAGAAAGAGAGAGAGAGAGAGAGAGAGAGAGAAAGAAAAAGAGAGAGAGAGAGAGAGAGAGAGAGAAAGAAAAAGAGAGAGAGAGAGAGAGAGAGTTATGCTTCACTTCCTTTGTTTGGTACCTTCCGGTATCAGCCTGGTAAATACCGTTTGAATGTTTCGACTTTCTCTCTTTCTCTCTCTTTCTCTCTCTCTCTCTCTCTTTCTCTTTCCCTTTCTTTGTCTCTCTCTTTTCTTCTTTTCCACTCTCGTGATCGTCGACGCGGTTCGCCAGCGGTTTAAATCCAATTTTCAACAAACGAGAACAGGTTCCTACTGACTTTGTGCACAAAGTGTATGCCATAGTAACAGGAGCTCAAATAGGACAATTGTTACTCGATTCTTTTTTTGTTGCTTTATAGATACAAATCCAAGCTCATTTTATTGTTATATTACGAATTATAAATGAAGAAGAAGAAGAAGTAGAAGAAGAGGAAGAAGTTATTTGTAAATTTTCTGACGTCGACATAAAAAATTCTCGAGAAAGTTTTGTTTGCTGAAGTTTAACTGTTAGAAGAACGAGGAACTTCCTCAAGGAGGAAGAGGAGAGGAGGAGGAAATGGAAGAGAAGGTAGAAGAGGATAGACCCTCGTCGACGTATTGGAATAGTGTCACACGCATACTCAAACGTGTTTGAGCGTTTAACGAGCCTACACCTAGACGCGGCTAGATCCGACGATATTCACTGACACTGACGAACCGGCTGCAGTTTGAACGCACCTGCGCTCGCCATTCAATATTTCCACGAATATATTAAGTGCCGAGCGATTGATTCCTCGAACAAAGGTGTTAATTAGATAAATGGTACTTTCTTTTCAATAGGAAGTTAGGAAAGTTAAAAAAAAAAAATAAAAAAAAAAAAAAAAAAAAATAATAATAATAATAATAATAATAATAATAATAATAATAATAATAATAATAATAATAATAATAATAATATTGTAATTTCTGAGGAAAACAAATACATATAATTACAGATATTTAATTTATAAATTATTAATTAATATTAAATATTTATATCTATTAATTAAAACTTCATTACATATAACATTCACTATACGATCATCGATCGATCATATTGATCAAAGTTTCAATATCTTCGTTCTATCGAATAGAAATCTTTGATCGATTTAAAGGGCCGTCGTTTCATTTAATATTCTTTATATAAACGCATGCGCATTATCTCCATGCGAGAACGCGTTAAATGATAGTGCGTTTAATAATATGGGTTTGCGTGAAACCGTCAGGAAAACCACGAAATCGTGTTCTCGGTGGTGCCACGACATGACGATGACAGGTACGTAGCTGGACTTGTCAGGTACTGCGCGCTTAAACGTCGGTGAAGGGAAGACTGGTCTAAATGCAATTAAGCGCAAAGCAATTTCATTCCCCCCCTCCCCTTTACCCCTCCTCCTTCTCTTCGTCCTCCTCCCAAGCCCTCCTTTCACCTACCTTTCTCCGATCCTAACCCCGTCATTTATATCAGTGGATTTTCATTCGTTGAACATGTAAAAATCTTCTCTTCGAAAATTATGATAAAAGAGTATGAAAAAAAAAATAATGAAAAAAAAAAAAGAAAGAAAAATGGTCTTTGAAAAGTTAAAAAAAAAGTTGATTAAAATAACGACAAAAACATGAATTGATTCGATTTGTTTAGCTATAAAAAAGTTTGTAGCATACAGGACATCGCCTGGCAGGCATGTCTCTTTCTTTCTTTTTACTTTTTCATTTCTGAAGGATTTTTCTACGCATGAACGCTCAAACGCCAAGCCACCACCACCAACGCCGCCGCCAAGCCCACCGTGGACATAGAACGCGCGTAGAAAACGAAACGTAACCGCGTACCAGCCGGGAAACTGACGTTTCTGCGCATGACATCTTTGTAACGAGGCGAGCTTTAACGTACGCATACCTATCTACCTACCTACCTACCTACCTATCTACCTACCTACCTACCTACCTACCTACCTACCTACCTATCTATCTATCTCTACCTATGTATGTTTTATATATGTATGTACATACCTTTTAGCGTTATGTTAACAGCGTAATAGTTATGCGTTTAACCCCCAAAACCAAAAGTCGTTTTGCTTTCCGATACATTTTTCTTTATATCCCATGTCGATACTCAACGTATGTATATTACGAACGTGGAATTGACCCTTCGATTATTTCGCATTTCAATAAAAATTGGATGGACACATCAACGATTATTCGCTATCATCTATATAGATATACGAATTAATTTATTTAGTTTATATAATAAATCTAATATTATATTTTATATCTTTTGTAGATTAATATATAAATGATAAAAGTATTATTGCATTATTTTTCATGTGATTCTATGATACTTGTCATTAGGTACATCATATCATCTATATTATAATAATACTATATGATCAAATTATTATCATTTATAATATTATATCATCTATATTATAATAATACTATATGATCAAATTATTATCATTTATAATATTTATTTTATACGATGAAGTTATTATTATTTTAAATATCTATGCTATACAAATTCTGTTCGATCAAGTAAATATTATTAGAAAAATCTATACAAATCAATTTTAGTCGTTTTTCAATTATGAATTCATTTTTAATTAGTCTATCAAATTCAACAAAGATTTAATGATGTTTGTAGACTTTGAACGTCAACATGGTAACAGAATGACAAGATAAAAAGAAAAGAAAAAGGAAGAAAGTATATGAACTAGGCAAAAAAGAAAAAGATAGAAAGAAATGAGAAGACACATCGTAATCGGAACGCTGTCTATAAAGTCTCGATCGTGGTGGTTGACGGAAGGAGGTTCCGGGGGTGGTACTAGTGGTACTACTACTGGTACTTCTACCACCACTACTGCTACTACTACAGCTACTACTACTATTACTACTACTACTGCTACTGCTGTTGCTATCGGTGAAGGTGGAGGTGAGTTGGGGGTGGTGAAAGAGGAGAGAACGCATCATCGAACGGCGGTGCGAGCCGGGGCGACGCGCGGTGGCTGTGCGTGACATTTTTGTAATGAAACCAAGCTGAACGTACGTCGGTCTCTCGGCAGTCAGTACGGTAGACATCTGGCCTGCCTCTCGCTTGGCCGTTCTAATATTGGAAATTTCAGTACTCCTCCAACCTCTACCTCCACCTACAGTTCCACCTCCTGCTCTCTACCACCACCTTCGCTGGCAGCAGTAGTAGCAGCAGCAGCAGCAGCAGCAGTAGCAGTAGCAAGCACTAGAACTAGTACTAGCACCACCACCACCACTACTACCACCTCCTCTTCCTCCTCCTCATTCTCCTCCTCCTTCAGGCGCCGTACCATGTGCGGGACATATGTATAAACATAAGCTCAGCACGACGCGATGCCCCGAAGCTCATTTCCTTCAAAAAGCGGAGTCGCACGATCGAACTGCGATTATTCCTTCCCCTTCCACTTCATCTCCATCTTCTCCTCCCGTCACCCTGTTTCGTCTCTTTTGTCCTCGTACGAATTTATCTGAATCGCCGTAGGTACCTCTTCAAAACGATATTTCTCTCTCGATATTAATTTTAAGTTATCGTTAAAAGTAAGTTGAACAAATCCAAGAGATGTTTTTTTTTTTTTTTAATTGATGTTTAAGAGTATTTTAAAAGTTATAATAGAGTAGATGATGGAAAAGTGTAAAAATAATACTCGAAGGAATTTTCTTTTTCTCTTTACTGGATGAATTATAAAAAAAAAATTCGAAGGATAGTTGAAACTCGCTAACTCGAAGCTTGCCACGGGGTAAAACGAGCGCGGATTTCGAAGGATTTACGCGTTTCCATCTGGCCCTCGTTGTAAACTTCTCGTCGACGAGGAAGCACAGATCGTTTGTCGAGAGAAAGAGAGATAGATATACGGATAGATAGATAGATAGAGATAGACAGATAGAGCAAGAGAGAGAGAGAGAGAGAGAGAGAGAGAGAGAGAGAGAGAGAGAGCAAGCGGTATCGGCTCGCAACTTTGCGATGTGTATCTGTCTCTCTCTCTCTCTCTCTCTCTCTCTCTCTCTCTCTCTCTCTCTCTCTCTCTCTCTCTCTCCCTCTAACTCTTGGAAGCTTCTGGTTTTCTCCCTTACGATGAAAAGCCGAGAACACGCGCCTCATTCGCCGCGAGTTGCGTGAACGCGATGTATCTGTCGGAGCTTTAGCTGTTACGTGAAAAACAAAGTGAGTATTTTTAACTTCATTTCCAAGTTGACCGAACCTAGTGGGACACTCGAAAAGTATGGAGAAAAAAACAAACTTGCAAATGTTTTCATTTGTTACGTTTTAACGTACGAATGATCAGATTGCATATTTGAGAAAAACGAAGAAGTAAAGAAAAAAAAGAAATCTAATATGTATCATAATATAATTAATAACTTATAAGAACATTAATGAAAGACGTAAGAGATAAAAGATAAAGATTGAAGAAGAAATGAAGGAGCTCTTTCTATTTCGTGTTTTTGTTTGGCAAAGGGTTCAGGAAAAAATCAAATTCGACGGAATAGAAGGAAGAAAAACAAACGGACGGTAATAATAAAAAGAAGAAAAGAGAAAATTTGAAAGAGAGAAAAAGAGATAGATAGATAGATAGATAGATAGAGAGAGAGAGAGAGAGAGAGAGAGAGAGTGGGAGAGAGAGAGAAAGAGAGAGAGAGAGAAGCCTTCGCGCGAAAGGGTCGCAGCTGTGTGCGATTACGTGCGCGAGAGTCATGGATTTTCTACCGGTGGCACGTACCTATACACATCTATAGCATACAAATACACAGAGATATGTGTATAAGACCTACGCTAAAATACCTAGACTTATACGTGAGTGTATATATCACTTTTCACCAACTGTGTGTATGCTCTTGTTTGCTTAACTAAGCGTCTTAACGAATTGCCAGAGTGCGTCTCCAACCCTGATCGAGGGAAAGGCCAAAGCTCTACGGCTTTCATCAAGCTTCCTCCTCCAACCCCCTTTCATGAGAGTCGATCAATGGGGTGAACTTCGATATCCCGATCGTCACGTTTCTTCAAGACTTGCTTTTTCCATATTAATTTGAATGAGTTCATGATTAAAATACATTTATCAATTAATTTCATGACAAAGTGAGAAAGAAATTTTGATTATATATTTAACAAAGACAATTCTCATAATTGTCGTTACATATATTACAACGATGACCCTTTATGTACATATATATATACGTATATATATATATATATATATATATATATATATATATGTATATATATATATAATCGTTCTACATAAAAATCAATCAACCGAGGCCAAAATAATTATCGTTTGTACAACTGCAAAAGAAGATTTTCATGTGAAAATCAGATTTATATCTATTATACCAGGGAATTCGTAAATCAGTAGAAATTGAGGAATCGAGGAACGAGCCGTTGCTACGTCACGTCGAACCGCTAAATTCGTCCATTAAGCTTAGACGTCCGTGCAGATGTACAATGTACATAACAGATTGGCTTTATCGCAGCTGTACGGACGTAAAATAGGCGACGGAGATCGCAAACACAGTGTACGACACTTGTTCGCCCGATGACGAAGGAATGGCGGACATCTGTAACAACAGAAGACGATAGGCTCTACCCACGGTGATCAAAAATAATAACCATCTGTTACAATAAAAGTTGCGTGCACGTATTGTTCTAACGTAATGTGAATTCTTTCGGAGAAAAAAAATGTCAAATATGTACGTACACACGCGCGTGCGCACATGTATATGTGTGTATGTGTGTACGTATGTGCATGCTTATCTGTGTGCACGTGTGGGAAAGAATGATGTTTTATTATCTGTATTTTACAGAAATTGATTTATGAGATCGTTCGACCAGAATCAGGTAACCAATATTATTACAGGATTAGGATTTATGACGATACTTTTAAGTAGGTATATAAATGTAGATATATAAGTATAATAAAATCAATAGTATTTTCCAACGTGATATATAATTTTGTAACTTCTTTCAATAACGATTTCTTGAAATTTTTGAAATGATCAAGATAAGAAGTATCGTCTTTTATCAAATGGTTAACAAACTTGCAGTATAAAATTCGAAGCGATTTGGCGATGCAATTTTCCAGTAAAAATTATGGCGAGCCATCAGAGAGACCGTTTCTTGGACGAAACGAAGGGCTCGTTTGCATTTCACGTTAATAACGAGACCATGTGGCACCGAAGGCAGTCTGCTGGCAGGGCTGCTGCGCGTCAATAAAATAAAATTCCACCGGTTCGGAGTGGTGCACCATGTGGATCTTAAAGATTACTTCCTGCTTTCCTTCCATTTAATTTTCTTTCCTTTAATGTTACTTCTTTCAACATAGCTAAGGAGAAATATTATATTATATATTAACCGAAAAAACAAATTTTCTTATTTCGTTTATCTTTCTTCCTTATCGGAAGACTTCTTTCCCATCGATTATTTCAAATTATTCTCATTTTACTTTTCACCAGACGTATTTCTCCTATTAAATATTGACGATTTAGGTATTCAACAACGGGCCGACGAATCGTGACGGATCCCCCCGTTAGTTTTACGAACTAACGTCCGTCCAATTCCATTAAAACGGCCATCGGTATGCACGACGGGGTAACCCGTTGTCGAGCACGTAGACGAAATATGTGACCACCACTCGCGAAATGGAATCAATCAAATACGAATCGTGGTTACGATGACATAGATACACACACCTTCAGATTCCCCCTTTCGTTTAGTTTTTCGATCCTTTTTCAGTCGGTAGGCGAGGACGGCTGTGATTCGATTCTCTACGAGAATGAGTCTTCTCGCGAGAGAAATTTTCTCGTTTGTTAAAAAAGAAACGAACGAAAAAGATCTACTCGATAAAGATATTATATAGATATTTTTTTTCATTAACTGAAGAATTTTATCATAATATTCTTTGAATCCTACTTAACTCTTATATGTCAAACTTAAAAAACATATAATTTAATGTGTGATATACATATAATAATAACATTGAATCATTCATTAAAGAATTAATAATAATTGTATGTAATTAGGAGACAAGTCAACGAGATCGAACTTCATTTCTATAGCTATTAGATATTATGAAAAATTTGGAAAAAAAAAACGAATAAATAAAGAAATATTCAATGATCACATTCGATTTTAATACGAACCGATAATATTTATCGTCAGGTTGAGAGGATCGAGTGGTACCGCTAGCATGAAAGTAGACGGTGGAGTGGCGAGTACGACGGTCCTTCAGAAAGTCAAGGTTAAGGAAGAGGCAAAGGAATGTTGCGGCTTTCAGCAGGTCTCAGCAACATCAGGGGGATCGAGTGGGACGAGCGTGGTCGTTGTCGTTTCGACGGTGACAGCGGCGTCGACGACCGTTATTGCAACGACATCCAGCAATTGCAATAGCAATGGTCTGACCACTGTGGGAATAGCAGCCACCATTGCGAGTACCTCTACAACCACCACTGTACCTACCACGTCCTCGACCTCGAATGCTCTTCAAACCTCTGCCATTATCTGCCATCCATCTACCCCGATAGCTGCTGTGGCCAGTAGTACGGCTCAGACACCTGAACCTTTGCCGGTAGACCTCGACCTCAAGAGTAAAAACAAGGGTGAGTCTAATGTTAACATCTCAGGTGAATCATGGAAAGAAAAAGCAAGTTATAAGTTTCGCGTAAATTCAGCAAGAGAAAGATATATACATCTCTTTTATATACATATATATAAGATATATATATATATATATATATATATATATATATATATATAAAATATATATCTATGGAGTTTTATGAGAGCGTCATCGATTCAACTTCAATATTTTCGTATCGATGAATCTTATAAAATCTTGTTAGATGATATTATATGTTCCATGCAAACATTTATCTCTTTTATATTAAATTCAGATATATAGAGAAAAAAGAGATAGATAGATAGATAGAGAGGGAGAAAGAGAGAGAGAGAGAGAGAGAGAGAGAGAGAGAGAAAGATAATGTTACACAATCTGGAGTTTTGAAAGAAAATCAACAGCTTAAGTTCAATATTTTTCATCAATAAATTCGATAAAGTAGATAAATCTTACTAGACTATATCACAATATTTGTAAAGAATATTATTTATTATATATATATATATATATATATATATATATATACATACTTATAGTAATATATAAATTCAGATAAACAGAGAAAGACAGAAAGATAATGATGTACAGACTAGAGTTAGAAGAAAAAGTCAACGATTGAACTTTTTCATATTTTATAAACGAATCCTGAAAAATATTTACAGAGTACAACGATGTTATATGATTTATGAAAAACTATTTTTATTTTCTTTTATTTTTTTAATCTAAATCGTTAGATCGCTGCAAAAAGGGGTAGAAATAGAGGATAAACGTTCAAACAACTAGTCATTCGATGTATCCAGAAAGAGAATGGAAGAGCAGAAGAGAGAAAAAGGACAGAGAGTATTTTCTACATTCCTCGTTCGCTGAAGAGAGCGTTGGGCTTAGCTGTGAGCGCGTCGTACATTAGTTCGGAATATTGCATGATGGTACCCGTATATTCAGTCCGCGGGTGTGCTCTCTCGCTCAAATCGTACATTTAGTACCGAACTGGTTATCTGGACGAGTGAGAGCCCGCAGCTACCTTGGAAATGGCTCAGGAAAAAAGCCTTTTCACTCTCTCTCTCTCTCTCTCTTTCTCTCTCTCTTCTCTCTCTTTCTCTCTCTTTCTATATCTCTTCTCTTGGCACATCAAAGTCCCGTCAACGCGGAATCATTCGCGGTTCGCGGCTCTCCCCACCCTTATTTCTCTATCCTTGTCTCTTCCTCTCCCTCATCTTCTCCCTCTCTCTCTCTCACTCTCTCTCTTTCTCTCTCTCTCTCTCTCTTTCTCTCTCTTTCTCTCTCTCTCTCTCTCTCTTTCTCTCTCTTTCTATCGCTCTTCCTATTTATTCATACGTCGAATCGACGAAAAAATTGTCCTTTTCGTCATTCAAACATTTTTATAACCAAAAGAAAATTCATTTTCCAAATGAATCGATCTCTTTTTAAAAGTTTCGATTATATTTGACTTATCATATTGTTTTTTATACTATATCATTTTATTCCAATTAATTTTACGAATGTAATTCTATTGATTAATTCTAGTAATTTTATCAACGAATTTTACTGCATTTCCCGTTAAGAGTCATTAATATTAATAGTTTTTCATTATTTTTTGAACGAATATTTTTTTTTCTTTCATTCTTTTTTTATGTTGACGAGTCTACTGCCGGACACACAACCACCACCTCATCCGCGACGTCGTCCAAAGAGACGCTAATCTGACGGGCTGACGCGAATATTTTTTTTCGGCGTGCGTGCGTCCGGAGGTCGCGTCGTGTCGCATGACACGATAAATCTCTCGATCCGGACGAGAAACGTACGGGATTAAACTCTCGTGCATGCGAAAAAAGGAGATAAAATTTTTATTTCCGTCGCTACGCCGATGCAATTCCTTCGTTTCTATTTTTTTTTTCTTTTTTTTTTTTTTTATTTCATATTCTTGTATTTTGTTTTCATTCTATTTATCTTGGCCACCAACGAAATATTGCTTTTACGAAAACGAAAGCTCTGCCCTGTCGTCGCGAGATTTTCCCAAAAAAGAAATATTTTTTTCGAAAGACGCATCATTTGATATAAATTGTTATTTTTACAAAATATATTATTGAAACACGTTACGAACTTCGGATGTAAAGTAACGATTAATTTTCTTTTATATATTTTATTAATTTAAAAAAGAATTATACTTATGAATTTTTTGCTAGTATAATTATGCTATTATTACTGTACTATAACTATGCTGTACTAATACATACTATACTATAATATAAATAACTAAATGTAATTTAGGTATTTATAAATACTATAATAAAATAATAAGTATTATAATATAAATACCTAAATGTAATTCTAGTATAATATAGTATGATATAATTATAGTACATATAGTATATAATAATAACAGATCAGTAAATGAGATATTAATATAAATAATACTATAAGTTTCCAATAATAGAAATTTATTAGTGGACGCGGATAAAAAAAAAAATTGAATTACATAAAATTTAAAAAGTTTCCACGACAAAAATAGAAAAGATATATCCCCTCCATGCTTCAAGAAAAAAGAAAAGAAAAAAAAAAAAAGCTAAATCGATCAATTTATCAAATTGGACATCCCTTCCTATTTGAACCGTCAAGCTCTCTCCGAAAGTGCACATTTCGTAGGTTCGATCGCGAAAAATGGACTTGGATGCATCCGTTTTGAAATCCTTCGAGTGGATATGGCAGGAACGCGGGCGAGAATCCGGTGTGTATTCGTTCTCCTTGAGTGAGGAGGTGCAATGCGTATGTTTACATACGTACACACATATACACATACACACATATACACATACACATATAAACATACATCGTGTTAGCTGAAAGAGAGAGAGGAGAGAGAGAGAGAAACGAGATGGGAGAGAAAGGAGACAGAGAATCACGATCACAGGATGTTCCTCTCTTTCTCTTCCTCTCTCTCTCTCTCTCTTTCTCTCTCTCTCTCTCCTTCGTTTTGTAAGAGCGAGAGGATAGCGAAACTCCTGCAAGCAGTCAGTCAAGCCGGTTGGCTCTGGCCCGGTGTGTTGGTTAGGTCGCTTCGTGCGCTGCCTGACTGCCTGGTCCAGACGCGATAAGGCACGTCCGACACTTCCACCGGGATTCTGCTCCAGGCTGATATCATATCCGGTACACCGTCGGCATTCCCGGTTCGCCGCCGTTCGAGGTATTTTGCGATAGTCGCCCTACCACGACGCTGCCACCGCTCGTTTTCCCTGGATATGCTTATGACGTTGAAAGAGAGAGAGAGAGAGAGAGAGAGAGAGAGAGAGAGAAAAAGAGAGAGAGAGAGACCGGAGACGAGTTCAGTCTCTCTCTTTTTTTCTCTTTCTTTCTTTTTCAAGTCGAGAACACGTTCGGTCTTTTTTCAACGAACTAACGTTCGATGCTCTCTATCTCCTTTACCTCGACAAGCTCTGCTTTTCTTAAATTTTCAAGGATAAGTACGTTAAGGATTATTAAAAATTTGTTTTTATTTGAGATTGTTTATCTTCTTTTCTTTTTTCTTTTTTTTTTTCTTGGTATGAAAATTATATACGACTAGAAAAAAAGAAAAAAAAGAAATTCTACTTCAACGGATTAAAAATTGTCACCGTGTAAGATTCAAGTTTATTGATATGAGTAAATAAAAAATGATTAAAAAATAGAAATCTAATGGAATCTATCAGAAAAGTGAAAAATAGAAAGAGTAGAATCAAACAGGAAAGAAAAGTAAAAATAGTAGAGAGTAGACGGTATGATGGAAATGGGGAGGGGTGAAAGGGAGAAGAAGAAAAAAGGACGAAGAAGAATTAGAAACAAGGAAGAGGAAGCAAGCAAGCAAGCAAGCAAGTAAGGAAGGAAGGAAGGAAGGAAGGAAGGAAGGAAGGAATTGCGATCAAAGCCATCTGTTGCATTGTCCCGGCAATTAGGAGGCGACAGCTGAGTCTCACCGTACTTACTTCCAGCAGAGATTCTCAGCCAGGTGGCACACGTGCGTCCTATCGATCACAAACGAAGTCAAAGATATGAAGAAGGAAGGGAGGAGAGGCGAGAGTGAGGGTAAACGAAACTCGGTTGCTTTGTCGGCTTTCTCGTCTAACAAAAGGTGATCCTTCAATTTCACACGAATTGTTTTGGCTAAGTCCGACCAGATCTCTCCAGAATCTCAACGATATTTGAGAATCGTTATGATGTTGAGAACCTCTGCCGGAAGTAACAGCTGGCCGAAGGGATAGTAACATCAGCAGCAGCAGCAGCAGCAGCAACAGCAGCAGCAGCAGCAGCAGCAACAGCAGCAGCAGCAGCAGTAGCAGCAGTAGCAGCAACAGTACTAGTAGCAGCAGCAGCAGCAGTACCATTACCGTCACCTCACTGGATAGCTTCCCTGAAATTCATATATTCGCCGTATGGAGAGAAGACGAACGACGAGCCTGCGCAACGAGCGACGACCTCGAGAAAGGACCCTGTCTGAAGAATTTAGGGCGAGGATGTTATGAATGGGGATGGTGGTACGTTGGGCATAGATGGAATCACAGAACTCGACAAATCTTGATAAAAAAATTTTGATCATTCATGTTTGAACAAAGTAAATTTAAATTTGCAATATAATGTTTCATATTACTTACGGGATAACCACACTTAAGCTAGACAACAGGCTAAAAATGAGTCGTTTAATATATCATGATTTTTGTATGATAGAGTAAAACGTTGCAGTCATATAGATTGCAAGCAATGAAAAAGAAGGCAGTACATGGTCGATTCCATGAAGAAATCTTGAATCTCTCTTTGTTATCTGACATCGTTCCAAGAATATTTTTATGAATCATCTCTCCAGGGATCCCTTAATCGCAGACATTAATCAACCTCATTTACGTACATCCACTTACATTAAAGTTATGCGCTATGTTGATCACAAGTACTACGTTTCTAGAAAAGAGATTGGAGAAAAGAAAAAAAAGAGAGAACGAGAGAGAGAGAGAGAGAGAGAGAGAGAGAATGAGGGAGGAGGGATCTGAGAGGTTGTGCACCTTGCACCCGTCATATCGCATAAGCTGTAGGTAGTTTAGTTTCCCGAGAGTTCAGGTACAGGTAATTACCTACCGGCTACCGGCGTCAGGTGGTAGTGACACGTTAGCGCTAAAGCTCTCTCCTTTTACTCGTTCAAATATGGTTCCTCCCTGGACTCACCTATGATTACGTTCTCACGTATCTACCACGTAGAAAATATCGAAGGAACTATACCGAAAGGCTAAATCAATTTTCTTTGAGAAAAGAAAAAAAAGAAGAAATAAATAATGGTTAAATAGGGGAAGTAATATTCACAATGAAGTATATGAATATTACTGTCTTCCTTCATCCAACACATTGGAAAATTGTAGAAATCAGAGAAGACATTGACAAAGTTGAAACGGAGTAACATCGAGATCAGCCATTTTTCTCTGACTTAACGCTTCTGCGTTTGTCAGCGATGTGCTACGAAGAAAATAGACGAGGAGAAGAAAGAGATAGAGGAGGAAGAAGGAAAAGAGGAAGAGAAGGAGGATGATGATGATGATGAGGAGGTGGAGAACGTCGGTATACACGGCTGTAATGTTTCGTTATCGGCCGTCGCTGCCGCCGTTTTGCCACGCATGCCACGAGGCCGGAGGCATTCTAGGAGATAACGTGCGGAACATAGAATGGGAGCAAGACAAGGTGGATGACACGGCCCGTAATTGCATGTTATCCGCTGCACCCACGCGACCGAGAACGAAGGACTCCCCTCTATACACACATACACATGCATATATGTATATAGAATTATATATACATATATATATAGATGCATCCACGTCTCGTCTCGTCTCGACTCGTCTCGCCTTGAGCACGTGTTCTAAAATATTCCCCAATGAGGATTCTCATCCTACTTGTCTTTCGTATCTCTCTACTACGCGTACTTTTAGCGTGTCTCATGTTGGATGCGACGGATCACAACATGACATTTTTTAATAATTAAGTATTTCAATATATGTTAGATCGATTTATTGATAATTATAGTTTCCTTATAATCTAATCTTATCTCATTACAAAAGAAATAATAAAAAAAAAGAAAAAAGAGAACAGTTAGAATAGATGCATAGTTAGTCTTATACCAATGTCGCTGATGTCTCGTTATTCAAAAGCAACAGGCATTACGTGAGAACGGAGAAAAGACTTTCATTTCAGTGAGTCCTACCAGCAGAGATAAAACAACGAGGGAAGAGAATAATCATCTTGAGGCACTCTCACCGTCTTCTCAACATCATCAAAGACATGGCTTGTCAACTACCAACACGCCTCAGACTCAAACCAATGGCTCTCGATCAGAGTACAAAGGTCAGTTGGGTTGCTCTAGGTCATCGGACAACGATAGTCCTATGTCTTCACATCCTCTCAAACCTGATCTTGAGGAATCCACTGGAGGAACGTCAACCGGAACATCAGCTAGTTCGACCTCTACTGTTCCTACCGTTACTGCCTCTACCACAAGTGGATCTTCAGCCACCTGCAGAAATGAGGAACAGGTCGAGGCCAATCCACTTCTGTCAAATGGCGTCAGGTGTATCACTGGGGTCTTTGCTGGTCATGGAAAACTTAAAAGGCTACTTGGTACACTCGTACAATTTGCAACTGATATATCAGCCGACACTGGAGACACTGTACGGACCTTGGTACTTGCTCTTTTGGTACGTATGTACATATATGTATGTATATATATATGTATATATATATATATCTTTTTATCATTCCTTCCTGATGTACATACTTCAAGTGGAAGATAAATAATTCAAAATTCATAAGTCGAATATCATCATCTTTTCTATTTTTCTTTCGTATGAATTTATAAAGACTGATCATTCTTCTTAATTATACCGTCCATGGTAACACTATAGACAGGGAACTCTTTGATATGCCTTACTAAGTACACATTTGCAAGCATCATCTTGCACTCGTTGCAATCATCTAACGTAGCGCTAAATCAACATACGCGTATCTACCAACTGACGAGGATGACCATAGAAAACGTATAGAATGGACCGACGCTGCTGCAATACTGCTAGTGCCAGTGTTGCTGCTGCAGAAACACCTAAGTGCATCCTTAAGACGAGTTTGAACATGTGCGAGAGGAACGAAAAGAGAGATGGCACTCGTCCCGAACGTTTCATCAATTTTCAATTCGAAAGTACTAATCCTACGAATATTTAAGCATTATAAATGAGTCCTTGTTATCCGATGATTTATATATTCTATTTCGATTAGGTATATTTTATTTAACAAGTCGCTTGTAATGGACTCGTTTGTATTGTATTAGAATTTAATAATATTTTTATAAATTAATATTTTTATAAATTAACGAATACAAAAATTAAGTTGAAAATTTATCTATCTATTATTCGAAATTTCTCAAAAATATATATGTTATCTAAAAAAAATTTGATCGAAGAAAAAATAAAAAAAATGAATAAAATACTTTTCATGTAAATTGTTAAATCTTTTGTCGGGGAATTGCGCCTAACGCAAAACGAGGACAATCGATGGTCGACATATCGCTAAGCCGATTGTAAATATTTAAAGTACCTACATAATGTATGAACGTTCGAGCACGGAGGCTGCATGCGATTCTGGAAACGTGACATCTGGTAACCGTGCGTGACGGCATAGCGATCGCAGCACGTGATCAACGTAAGATCAAAACTGTGGATTGAATTGATTGATAAATAGTAAAAAGATAATGGATAAATTTAATCCTTCCTATTTAGATCCCTCTAATCTTATGTATTTTTTTTTCTTTTATTTTTTACATTACAGAGTGGTACTATGACTGCCGAAGAATTTCACTCTGCTTTGCAAGAAGCTACGAACTTTCCATTGAGGGGATTCGTTTTGCCATACTTAAAACATACTTTACCATCTTTACAAAGGGATTTGAACACGGCTGCTAGAGCTGGTAACCAGGTGAGTATCTATAATTAATTTTTTTTTAGAAGATATAAGTTATTCAAAATTAAAAATTAATAAAAAAAATATTTATATAATTTATTATTAACAAATTTTAAACGAATAAGATAGATATTTTTTTTATTAATTTTTAATTTACTAAGATATATATACATTTTTTTATTATTATATATATATATATATATATATATATATATTTCTTAAATTAAATTTTTAAAAATTGAAAGATAAAATAATATAAGATATAATACATTATAAGATATATATATATATATATATATATATATATTGATTTTTAAATTTTTGCTAAGATTAAATATATATACCTACATAATATTAATAATAAAAAGGTGAAAAATAAATAACCATTAGCAAGTTATTCTTAATACAACTTTACAAATTATACGAAACATTGTAATTCACGAATACAAGTAAGCTCTCTTTTAGCTTTGAGTTAGCGCGAGACATCGTTAGGAGAACATACTAGCCCGGGCCATTTTAATAGCCGGTACGGCGCGTTCCTTCGGGCTTTCGAGGACGATATAAAGGGTTTGACGAAAATAATAGTAGCGGTTGACCCATAAAGAGCGGGATGCTTTATTAGAGCAGCCACGGGGGATCATAAATCACTGCAACACGAATGCGCCATGGTAGAACGCGTAACGATGCATGAACGAACGAATCACTTCGCTAATACTGTTGTACATTTGCCCTTACCTTGGGGAATTTTTAATTGGTTAGATATCAATATGTGTGCACAGTGTGCACAGGTCAAAAAGAAAAATTATCCTGAAGATTATTTTTCTAATTTGTTTTTTTTATCTGATTAAAATTGTTCAAGAATTGTTCAAGGATTAGTGATTTTTCAATATATAAAAGTCTTATAATTTTGTATTTAACAAAAAAAAACAAACAAACAAATTGAAATTACTAATTAATTTTATATACAATCGTACATAAAATTATATAGATACATATATTAAAAAACTTTTTTAATTATATATCTATACTAAAATTAAAATTATGTAGGTATATACTAAATTATATACTTACGCTAAAATTGTTGCACGAGAATTAAAAAAAAAAAGAAATAAGTAAATAAAAAATACTAAATACATATAATTATTGTTATCCAACGGATAAAAGAGTAATGCTAATGTTCTAACAAATTTTTTATGAACTCATCAATGTTATCAAAAACGATTTGTAACCTCACTATAAACTCAAAGGACCTATAAAAATAGAGAATGATGTCTTTTGAATGAAAAGGAGGCCACTGTTAAATGGTATCTCTGAAGCTCTACGTGACCGATCTTTATTTCCACATATGCGAAGGAAACTATGCGGAATTCTAAACGTGGTTGCGCTCCTCTAAGATTACAATCCTTGTTTGTTATTCAGAAGCCGGCGTAGCCCCTTAAAGAGACATCGCGTGTCGTTGATGTCTTTCTTGGTTTTGTCCCTGCGCCCTCTGGCGACCTACAAATTTATATGCGTTACGACAACCTTTCGTGACTGCATCAATAGAAAGAAAGCACAGACTGCACTAGCCTATTGAAAATTCTTTCTACGATCTATGAAATTTACAGAATCTTTTGGTCTTACAGTTTTTTTTATTGATTTTCATTTCTCATTGGAGAGAGAGAGAGAGAGAGAGAGAGAGAGAGAGAGAGAGAGAGAGAGAGAGAGAGAGAGAGAGAGAGAGAGACAGAGAGAGAGAGAGAAAAAGAGAGAGAATAAATATATTATTTATGTCAAGTTATTAATAATAATACTAATACAAAATTTAATTATTTAATTAAATTAATAATAATATAAAATATAAAATTATAATAAAATTAAAAGTAAATAATAATATGAAATGAAATAATAATCAAATTCAAAAAAAAAAAAATATTAATACATTAATATATTAATTTAAAATTATAAGTAATAAATATAAATTTTTTAATTAATAATAATATGAAATAAAATTAAATATAATATATTAACGTAAATATATATAATATATTTAATATATATTACATATATCATATATATTAAATATATTCATATACATATAAATTTTAAATTATTAATAATATATAAAAATTATTTATATCAAGATATAACGAGGATCAATCCTCGGCGATTCTATTTATATCGATAGATATAAAAAATTGAAGAATTAACAAAGAATAACAATGAGAATTAAGTGATAGAATTATAAAAGCTCTTTGATTCGAAAAGATCACGATAACCAATCCTCGCCGACTCTATTTATATCAATAGATATAAAAATTCGAAGAATTAACAAAGAATAACGATGAGAATTAAGTGATAGAATTATAAAAGCTCTTTGATTCGAGAAGATCACGTACGGAATACGTTCACGTGTTAATAGAGTAAAAGAGGGAGGTTAGTTAGGCGTCACGTGTATCAACGTCCATCCTTCCAGGCAGGACCAACTGGATTGCGCTTATGTTACTTGCGTGCACACGTGTTAGTTTCTATGGTTAGTAGAGTAGAGAAGATAGAGAAGGGAGAGAAAGAGAAAGAGGAGAGCTCAACAAGCCCAGGAGGATCGAGTAAAATCAACACGGCGAAAGCTGACCGGCTGGCAGCCTGTTTTAATTTCCCAGGCTACTTCTCGATCGTAGCTGGGAGCTTAGCAGTCTGCTTCGCGAGGGGGCAAGATAGATGAACGAATCGAACGTAGAGAACGACGAACATAAAAACCTTTCTCGGAACTTGGAAACTCTTCTCGATACAAAACCATCTTTTCTTCCTTCCTTCTTCTTTTCATTTTTCTCTCTTTTCTTTTCTCCCTATTTTTTTTTTTTGGATGGACGGGGGGAGGGGTGGGGGAAAGGGGAATTTCTTCATTCTCTCGAATTTTATCTAAGCTTCCTCTTACAAACTTTCTCATCGATGTTGCTTTATTATTAGATCGAATATCATGAGAGAATATATCGTGAACTTTATTAATAAATCAAGAGTATGAGAAAAGAAAAAAAACAAAAAATGGAAAAGAAAAAGAGGAGGAAGAAAAAAAGATATGAAAAAAAGAAACGAAGAGTTGAAATAAAAAAATTGATAGCTCATTTTTCTATTTCTTTGCTTACGTGCACGTGTTCGTCCTATCGTAATAATTATGGGTATATCGAGGTAAAAGCGGGATAATAATTCGCTTTAAAGGGCGAGATAATCTCGAAATAAGACAGTTTCTCTCTCTTTATCGCTCTCTCTCTCTCTTTCTCTCTCTCTCTCTCTCTCTCTCTCTCTTTCTCTCTCTCTCTCTTTCTCTATGTTCCTCGAGGATCGTTGCACGTTCCTGTAATTATCCCTCCTACCCCCTTCTTCTTCTTTTCCTCCTTCTACTTCTCCTTCTCCCTCCCGCCCTCCTTGCACGTCGTTCTCCTTTATATTTGCATTAAATCCAGGAACGGTATACGTAATCCTGTATACTCGGTCGTCCGTGCACCTATTGGCTCGTTGATCCGGCCAGTAGTACTGTCTACCATATATCCGGCATTTATAAACTCCTCTATCCACTGTACTCCTGTGGTATGTTCCTATATCTATGTATATATATATATGTATATATATATATATATATATGTATATATATATATATGTATATATGTACGTATGTGTATGTGTTCGTCCAGATGCAAATAGTAGGAATGGCCAGTAGTACGAGTCGTTAATCGCATAGGATCAGACCAAACGCAAATAGCCTCGAGATACTCCTCGACACTCTCCGTTTCCAACCGATTTCGATCGGAGAAATCTCACGAAACTCTCATACCGTATGTCCATCATAGAACAATCATGATTCCTCCCTCCTTTCTCACATAGAGATCCATTTTGCGATGACACGTTCTCTTTGGTAAATGCTTCTTACTACCTATTGTCATATAATTCAACGTTAATTGCAAATAATTTTTTATTATTTCGTTATCAATGTATAATGACATTATTAAAGATTCATTTTCCAAGGATATGTTATCTTTAATTAATGCTTCTTGTTATTTATTCATATCATTTAACGATATTTGGAATGATTTTTGATTAATCCGTTTACATTTTACAATTTCCCGCCAAAATTTTAATTGCACCTGTTTATAAGGGATTTCTTTTTAAATCTATTACAAGATAAATTCATTCACTTCTTTGGAAAAATTTGATTTTCCCACAATAAACCTCTTAATATCGTGGTCCTTGCATTACCGACAACGAACACAATAAAAATCTAAAAGTGAAAAAGAATTAATCTTGCGGCTTTCGTTTATGCTTCGACATCCAGCTGTTGCCTCTAAGATTGAACGAAGGAAGAAGAGAAGAAGTAGTAAGCTGACTTGCACACTACGGCAAAGTAACGAATTGTAAATTAATGGAAAAAATTTACATTTCGCTCGACGCCACGACGAAAAGCGAAAACAAAAGTCGCAAATAATGTTTTCTGGTGTTCGAGTTTCAACTCGAAACATCATTTTGATTTCTTCCGATTTTGTTCCTTTTTTTTTTTTTAATCGTTTCAAATTTCTTTTATTCTACAATATAAAAGTACCTAATTTTTTTTTGTCTATTTTAATAATTTGCTTATGTTTAATAGCTTAGAAAATAATGATATTATTGTATTAAGTTTATTGAGGTTTCCATAACTAGTAGTCGGAAACTCTCGAGACTCGACGTAGACTCTGTAAACATATCGAGTAGGATATTAGAGGAAGAGATCGGAAAGTTAGAAACAGGCTACCGTCTGGACCGCATCATCTCGTCTGCGTCTACTGACGTAACTATAGAAAACAATCGAAGCAATAAATGGCAAGAATTTCATACGTCTTTTTTCATTGAAGTAAAATAAAAGAGAGAGAGAGAGAGAGAGAGAGATCAAGAAAAAAAGAGAAAGAAAAAGATCTTCGATGAAAATATGTTTTTCATACATACGATACATATTGAATGATATATATATATATATATATATATATATATATATATCATTATATATATCATTTTATATATATATATATACTGATATATATATATATATATATATATATATATAGATAGATAGATATATATATATAGATATATATATATATATATCAGTATATATATCATCCAATTCTAAATAAACTTACTTGAAACTGATAAAATATTCGTCTACGCTGACATTAAATAAAAAGATCGATAATTCAAGAGATTATAAAAGGTAATAAATTATAAAAGGTAATAAAAAGTTGTGCGTCTCGGTCGTCATTAGATAAGAAAATTCAAGTTGAAAAATTCTCAGAGAAATGCAGATCGATGATCGTTAATTACGGACTGCGTCGAGCAATTTGAAAAAGAAGAAAAGAGAAAGGAGAAAAGAGGGACGGTTGCTGATATTGAATTAGAAGCGATAAATCCCAGGCTGGCAGACCGATTCCAGTATTGAGAGTAGAGGAAAGACGTTGGGAATAAAGGAATTGTACGGGAAGTTTCGACGTAGGAGACGCGAAGTGTTGGCGATAAAGAACACGTCGAACGAATATTAAAAATCGAAACTGATTGTAATTGCTGGTACTTTGAAACTTTAACGGCTTAGCCAATCTTAATTGCACGAGACTAATCTTCCTTTATTACTACTTATTTTACTTGTAAATGTCACGAATGTTTCTGCGAACTATCAAATTTTTAACAACTTAAGTAGATATCAAACTTGTAAAAATAATGGATGTAAACAATTTTTTAATTTTAATTAATAAATTTGTTTTAATTATTTTAATTAAACAATACAATTATTAAAATTATAATTTTTGTCGACTGTCGTGTTTTTTTTTTTATACTTATCATTGAAAAATTAATTCTTTATAATATGTTAATTTGAAATTACACACTAAGATATCTATATTTTGTATTATTTCTTTATTAAAAAATTTATTGTTAGTTTATATCTGAAATTTGATGTTTATGAAATATAAGATATGCTTGTAGTATCTATCTATAGTTTAATTATCGTAATTTAAATTGTATTTAATATATTATAGTTATACTAGTACAAGCTGTATAAAGTGAGTTAAAAGTTTCTAGGTGATTTTAAAAAAATCAATGACTCTTTTTTGAGACATTTTAGATTAATTTTCTTCAGATTATAGAAAAGTTCCTAGTCTTATAGTTCCATGATCTAAAAAAAAAGAAAAAAAAAAAAAAAAAAAACAAATTAATCTAAAAAATCTCGAAAAAGAGTAATCGATTTTTAATATCATTCAAAAATTTTCATTTTCACTTGTACTTAATATAATACAATTATATGAATATAAGTCATGATATGAATTTCAGATTTAATAATTTATTTTTGAAAGTGAAAAATTAAATTGAATTACCGAGATTTAAATGGATAAAAAAATTACTGAGAAATAAAAGAATAACGAATTTTACGTTAAAAAATCAAAAAGGTATTCTTTTTTTTGCAGACATGTGCACAATTCCTTCGAAATAACGAAACAGCGATTTTGGAAGCGGTCGGATTGGTACCGTCGGGCGAATCCGTAGAAATTTTTGGAGAACATGGTAGCAGCGGTCTTGGAAGTGGAAACGCCGGTAACCAGTGTCCCGCGTATTATTCGATGCGTTCTAGCTCTAATCCGAATGTCGGCGCCATTCAACACGCGAACAATACCACGAATGCTTTGCACCATTACTCTGGCTCCTCTCATGCACCGAAACGTCGTGCTTCAGACACCCCGTAAGTGAACATGTTTTACTTATATCACCCCTTCGTCTTTTTCTTACGAACGATAATCTCTGATAAAAAGATTTCGAAAAAAGAAAAAAATAAATGTCGGAACTTTCTCGTAGAGATTCTTGAACAAAAAATTTGTTTTTAAAAATTGTTTGATTGATTCATAAATAAAATGGATGAAGTTGTATTTTTTTTTTAAATTGAAAGTTTCAAATTAAAAGTTGTAAAGCTGTAACTTGAGTTTATGTGTGTTGTGTATGTGTATTACACAATCTGTTACAATATAACTTGTGTTATCTTTAAGATAAAATAGATATGCAAAAGACAAAGAATTTTGATTACAAAGTATCATATATTTATTACAATTATTTTCTCAATTATAACTTACTTATGACTCAATCCACAATATATGAAAAATCCATTTGAAAATCTAAGATAATATAAAAAAGATAGTGAAATATCGAGAGATACTCAATATTTTTAATTAAATTTAAATTTTATTATAAATACAGTTATAAGTAAAAAAATTTATTATAATAAAATGATATAAAAAAATTATTCAAAAAATCATAAATTATAATTAACAAATATATTACACTTATAATTTATTTATGAGTCAATTTATAATGTATAAAAAAAAATTTACTTGAAAATCTAAGATGATATATGAGGATAGATGTTGAAATATCGAGGAACATTTAAATTAATCTGTTAAATTAACTGCAACGAGAAAAGATAGCTAACCTGTCTTCGTCCACGTCCATAACGATAATTCATGCAATAACTGACTCCACGCACCTGCGTGTACACGCGTGCGTAGTATATTTGCCAAGCCACAAACGATCTGGCGTTTTAGAAAAATCTTGGCCGGGAGCCTGCGATTCTCGCGAGTCGATATTTATAGGGAATGAGCCCTAAAGCTCACCCTCGTAAGCGACCAAGCGAGAGTACACTTTTGGATTCTGACCTTGGCGTTGATGTGAGAAACGACATCCGAATGTGTCGTCTCTAAATCTCTTTCAAAAGAAATCAACTTCTTCCACGAATTAAATTAAAAATGAAAACTCTTCTTATATATGTATCTTTTTGATCATGCTTTACGAGACAAAAATCAACCCTTTGCATTATGAGGTCACGTCTGACATGACAGTTTCATATTCAATTAATAAACAAATAAAAAATTACTTGGAAAGTTTTATTCAAAAATTACTTTTCAAAGTATTATATATGTGTATATATACGAATACATGATATATCAAAAGCAAAAAAAATATCTAATTAGAATTAGTCGAAAATAAAATAAAAAAAATAATTGTAGCGAAAAAAAGATAAAAATTAGTATAATTAATAAGAATAATTTCTTCTATTTCCTATGAGAAATAAATTATCGAAAAAAATAACTTTCGAAGTATAAATATATATATACATAAATACATGAGATATAAACAGTAGAGAAATATTTATATCATAATTTAATCAAGGATAAACTAAAAGAAAAATTATAATTCATAAAACTTAAAATTAGCCGAATCAACGTGAATAATCCGTTCTATTTTTGATGATAAATAATTAATAAGCTTGCTTAATCAATTATACTGAGCTCCGTCTGCACGTAATTCGTAACACAGTAGGGGAAGGAAGCCCTCGTTCGTCGCAACGTGGCTCATCGAAGCAGGTGTTCGATTAAGCATCGTGTTCCTTGAAAGGGGTTGAGGATCGAAGAGTACAGAGAGAGAGAGAGAGAAAGAGAGAGAGAGAGAGAAAGAGAGAGAAAGAGAGAGAGAGAGAGAGAAAGAGAGAGAAACCATCCTCCAGTGGTGGTGAGTTGCTTAGGGGAAGGAGTTGAAATAGAAAGAGAAGGAAAGATAGTGCTGAGAGAGATCAGAGTTCGATGGCCAAGAGGTGGAAGGAAGGGTGGTTGCTTCCGGTGAGGACACGGATACTCACGCGAACAGGCTGCTGAGGGGCGACGAAGCGAATTCGAAGGCGACAAAACGTGGTGTGCACGCTGGCAATGCCACCCTGGCTGGCGTCCTCTCGATATGTCTGTTGGTGACGTTTCCATATATCATCGGAGTACCACCTTTCGTGAACGTCACCCTCTTCTCTCCCCCCCTCTTCTCTCTAGATCTCATACTATCTACCCTCTTTGGCTCAGTTCGACCTGCTAACGTTGGAGCAAGGGAACTTGCCTCGAGTACCTATTGGCATATTCCGGACTAATACATGCTCCCAAGATCAGTCTTCGATGCCTATTCGTTGAACTGTACGAAGACCAGCTGTCTTTGGTTCCCAACTATACCTCACACGTATCCATCTAACGTAGCAGCTAACTACTTTGAAATTGCACGATTGTGGACCACAATCTTGCTATTCAAAATACATTTAACACTTTGAACTGTTATGTCGAATCTGACTCAACATCAATCTTCTTGATAGGTATTCCAATGTATCGAGTATGACTCGACACTTTTGAAAGCTGATATTCTATAACAATTGTTTTTATTACTATTACAATTTTTATCGATCTATTACATAACAGCAATGAAAATCAATAAGCAAGTGTGTGATGCATATAATTAAAATTGTTCGAAAGATCCAGAAATTTTCTTTTTTTTTTTTCTTTTTAATGTAAAACAGATAGATTATACGGATTTCGGAACACATGTCGCTTTGGACGCATGCATCTTAATACACATACACATACACATAACATACGGCCGCAGGACTGTTTTATGCACATGTTTCTTTGATGCATACCATATTGCACGCATGTTTTACGATATACACATTACATGGCACATATGCTTTCGAATAAGTACGTGGACGGTTTGGTGGATGTATTTTCCACTAGACGCATTTAACGTAGGATATATTTTTAGAAGGCAAACCACACATGTAACGTATATAAAGTTCAATAGGGATATCGTATTGGACAAATACATTATATTTTATTATTACAAATTCTAATAAAGTCAACTGAAGAATTTATCAAAAGTGTATTGTTTAGCCATTAATTTTATTTACAGGTACTATGAAAACGGTACCCTACTCGAGGATATACCTGTTTACGGAAAAAGGCCTAATCCATGGGGTGCCCATCACCAACAACAACAACAACAACAACAACAACAACAACAACAACAACATCAGCAACAACAGCAAACGGAAAATTCATCATCCTATTGTTGGTATCATCCGCTTCACGCAGCGGGTGGATCCATTCAAGGCCACGCACACGGACATGGCCACGGGCCTAGTCCAATTCCACCAAGCCTAGTTCAAATTAATCAGATAAATGCTTTCTCGGCCCCCCATCATTTGTCCCAACAGCAACAGCAGCTGAGTCACGTTCAAAACGGTTCTAGCCTCGACGACGAATGGAAGAACATTCATGTGATGTTGAACTGTATTCTTGGCATGGTAGAAAAGACGAAGAGAGCTTTGGCTATCCTTCAAAGACGAGGTTGTTCCAGTCCTGCTGCAACACCTATACCACCGCCAAATGTGGTCGCACAGAATGGTAATGCCAACAACACTACTACCAATAATCCTTCAACCAATGGTGCTCAAGTAGAATCTTCAACGGGTGATAGAGATGGTAGCTTGAAACGTTTGTCTGGAGAAATTGTTGCTCAAACAATCAGAGCTACTGAGGATAGGGTTGCTGAGGTGAAAAGAAGAGCAGGTAATTTTCAAAAAATTCATCGATGATTACATTACTCAAAGCTAACGTTATTTCTATAATTTCTAGAAGAAGCCGTGTTAGAAGTAAAAAGAGCAGCTGTTGCTGAAGTTCAAAGAGCAGTTGCAGTAGCGGTTGCCGAGTCGAGAGCGAGCGAACGTCTGAGAGTACACAGACTTTTAGACTTACCACTATCTCAAAGAAGTCACGTTGGTGTCCGTCAAGCTTCATTCGTTAGGGTTCACGGAAGTCCCAACGTGGTAGAGACCAGTGGTAGAACTGCTCCAACACCTACAACTACTTCTAATTCGGCACCGTCCACTACCGAAGATGACAAGGATACACATTTGACTAATATAATAGGATCAGTATGTACATATTTTATACTTACAAAAAAAAAAAAATATATATATATATATACATACACACACATTTTATTATCAACGCAAAATTGGAGAAAACCAATGAATCAAACTAATTATCTTCGCAGAATTGTTGGAATTGTGGCAGACCAGCATTAGAAACATGCGGTGGATGTGGGATCGCAAGATATTGCGGTTCCTTTTGTCAACATCGCGATTGGGAGGCTGGTGGTCATCATGCAACGTGCAATAATCCTTTACCACGAGAACCTCGAAGATCATCTTCGCGTAGTCCGCCTAGAATCGGTACAGCTAACGTCACTGGAAATATCAACGACGCGGAAGGTTCAACCGTGTCGGCCACAGCAAATACCATCTCCAAAGGGAAGTGACGACATGAAGGAAAGAGTCACGTTCCATTACGATTAGCCAGACCGATCTATTTTGATCCACGCTGATGTTTCCTCACAGAAGACTCAGAAACTTCTTACTTAATTATCGACTCTATTATACTTTCGACTCGCTTTCATATTTTTCTTTCCTTTTTCCTTTTTAAAGAATTTTGTTGATTAATCTCGAAGTATGGATTGTTTAAAATACGATTTATACAAGGATGCATTTTATTATCGTAACGATTTGTTCTTGTCATTAGACAAATTTGTTATTGTTTTTATGTTGTATATCGAAGGAAAATTATATTGAAAATGTTGAGTAATCGAGTAAGTTGTGATTCGTTTTGTAAGATCATTTTTTTTATGACGATCAACTGGAAAAAAGAATGATCCTTGTATAGTTCTTGTAAATATCACATTAATGAAATGTAATAGAAATGTGTGAACGTATCCGAATACGTATGACGTTTGTTGGGTATGATGAGCGTCCTAGGCTTGTACCATTGTTCATCTGTGTTGCTAATTCATAGTCAACAATTCACCTTGAATGTGCATGCACTTGGTACGAAAAATTGGTGTAAAGGTTCTTCTATTCAATGACAATTATCAATTTCCCAATATCCGTAGTGATCAAACACATTGTCTTACGTATCAAACAAAGATCATTTACATCTAAAGATCAAATTCTATTTGACAAAATCGTAAGATATTCTTTGTACCAAAGATCGGTGTTTTTTCCTATATGAAATCTTTCAATATATTACTATCTCGCATTCTTTTATTTATTCGCCATATTGCTCTTTCTCTCTGTCTGTCTCTATATCTATTTCTCTTTCTCTCTCTTTTAATATTCCATCGAGATGCAATTGTAATCTAACAGTAAGATCCAACATGCGATAGGATTTGATCGCTTTTAACGAGCGTACACAACAAACGGCTTACATCGATTTTACCCTAGTCAATTGATAGACTTAACGATTGTAATGACAGATGTAACAAAAAATTCTTACTTCGATCAATCGAATTATAATTAATTGTGTATCTTAAAGTCTAGTCATGCGTGGTTGCGAGGAGACGATTTTATTGGTTATACATATTAGAAAATTTTCCTCGAACTTAGATAACGATTTATTGTAATTCCTTCTGGGCACATTGCATTGCAGGAACGTACGATGAATTTTATGAAATGTATTTATGAAATAACACGTCAAATATATATATATATATATATATATATATATATATATATATATATATATGTATATGTATATGTATATATATATAATTATTCTATGTCACAATAAAAAAGAAGATGCGAATTAATTTGTCTAATTAAACGTTTCTTTAATACGTATGTGTGTATGTATATTGTATATACAAACATATATAATATACATAATATATGACAAAAATGAATCATTTACATTTTTTTTTATCAAAATTTTATTTTGGAATACTAGTTTTGCGTAATAGGCTTTTTTATTATATCAGCGAAAAGAGCCTTCATTTTTTCCTCTTTTCCTTGCGATTCGGTCCAATCCTTTTTATTTCTGACAAATAAAGGTACATTCAATTTACTCGATATAATTTTTCCTGATTTACTGGCACGTAAAATTTCTCCTGCAGCTGCTAATTCTTCCATGATAAACATTCTTTGCTTTTGATGCGACCAAATCCATATTTTGTCTAAACATCTAGATCCATGAGTGCTTTGAGCTAATTGGGTCCAGCACCCTTGTAATTTCTTAGCAAGTTTTTCTCTGCTTTTTTCACCAATATATTTACTATCCATAAAAGCATCTACAATACGACTACCTTTTGGATTACTTATCAAATTTAATAATTGCTCATTGTTTAGAGCCAATAAGGAATTAACAATTTTTATAGGTTTATTGAAGTTAAGCACAGCTTGTACGATCAAACTTCCATGCAAATGGATAGACAATTCAGTTTGATCTTCTTCCTTCAAAGATTCCAATTCATTTTGTTTCTTCAATGTATAAATACATTTTATAATTTGATATTGTTTTTCTTCTGACGTATCACACCCAAGTATCTTAATAATCATAGTTACATATGCACCCTGTTTTGTTTGCAATCTCTTCGATGCATTAGCTACACTTACTAAAACTCCTGTATAGCCTGCTTGTAAGATATCTGAGAAAAGAACTTCAATTTCTTCAAATATTTTTTCAAAAGTTTCTTTAGATTCACAATGATCTAATAATTTTTGTACACTAAAGATAGTACCCTGTGTTATACACAAACTTTTTAAGTTGCCCTTAAAATACTCTTCATAAATGTGGTCGAAGGATTTGGATTTCGCTATCGCAAGACAAGCTTCTAAAAGTCTTATAGAACTTTCACAATCAAAAATATTCGATAATTTTCCATTATCTTCAGAACTAAAACATTCCTTTGTGATCTTCTTAATGAAAGATTTTGTTAACTTCTTATCTATATCTTTTAAGGAATATAAAATACTTTGTAACAATCCTGAGGTTAATTCATCTCTGCCAAACTCAAGAAACTGTGGCCAATTATATAATCTGTTACATGCCTCGATTAAAAAATCTTTATATTCTTGTATAATCTCTCGTCTTTCTATACTATGTAACATTTGTTTCGTTCTATTCTGTCCATCGCTTGTATCTATTAATCCACCAAGACATTCTACTACAGTTCTTAAGAGATGATTAGCATATGTATCCCAAACAAATTCTTCTAAATTATTTATCAAATATTTACTCAATTTTATAACTATATCATTGTATGATTTCACTTCGGATTCTTTTATATCTATAACGATATCCTGTACATTTTCAGTTTCTTTTGACTTTGATGTTTCCAATATATTTTTGGATTTGTTTCCTCTGTCTGCACAGACTACAATTATTTTCTCCAAAACATGACTAGCAAATCTGTCACTACTTATTGGTCTCATTGAAGAACTGAGAGCATCCGTAAACCTCTGAATTGCTTCTAGGCTCGCATATTTCAAAAGTGATTCCAAGACTCTTGAACCAACTTGATTTTTTGAATATTCAATCTCGTGACCAACAGATTGTTCATACACGTTATTAATGAACATTAATTTTTCTTCAACGCTCGGAAAATCTTCACGCATTAACTCCAAAATACGAACCATATACTGATACGTTTCGGTATCAAGATCCGTTCCGTGATTTCTTCGACGAGCAAACTTTTTCGCCATTTGCATATTAGAACGTTTCTTTTTTCGCTTTTTACATCTGTCATCATATGCACGAATATCTGACATCGTTAATAAATTTTATAAAATTCTCTCGTAGAAAAGAAATTTTCTATAACCTAATTTATTCAACAACTTCAATCACGAATAATACGCACCGTTTGATAAGCGTGATAACTTGAATGTTACTAGTGCCCTCTAGTACTAACACGACAAGCGCCATCTACTATTAGCACGACAAGCGCCATCTAGTGCTAACGCAGGATTTGAATTACAAAAAAAAAAAAAAAAAAAAAAAAAAAAGAAAACATTTTCCACGACAAAATATTTATAATGTTGACTAAAAAATAATATATATCAGATTATTATCGACACATTTTTTACCTGTGAGGAAAAGAAAAGTGAAATCTAAAAAAATTGATTTTTGCATTGCAAAAAACTAAAATCAGTTCCGTGACTCTCACTGACCTCGTTCCCATATATTGACGTGCACTCCTTGCTAATAAACGTAGTTAAAAAATAATATGCTTTGCATATAAGTATCTTATAAGTATGCAACCAAAGAGGCGCGGCAATCTCGACGGTACTTCGTCAGACAACAGAATGGAACAACGGTATTCGATAAAAGGTCAACAAACGCATATATACATATACATATGTAATGACACAGCAGTAGACAGCCGGGCAGACAAAATGTATCGTTTATATATGTATATATATTGTATATCTCTCTCTATATATATATCATTAAATCACCTTTCATTTATTTGTATAACACTATGTAAATCATTATTTTACACGTTCGGAACAAACCTACATAAAAAAAAATTGACAGAGAAAATGATGCCGAATCGACAACTCCCGTGTTTATCTCTTAAAATCTACGATAATAATCTTTACACGCTTATCTACGCTAGCTAAGAAAGAGAAAACTCTGTAGTGGACGTAATAACGCGTTAACGTGAGAAAGTTTTTCCTTCTTTGACCAAAACGGAAGAAAGACAGTTCTTTGGAACTCACTAGCTACTACCTGTCGCAAAAAACTTTGGACGTCTCGTATAATCGATGTTGTCTCTAAAATAGAGAACGATAACGACGACGATGACGACAACGACGGCGACGACGACGACGACAACGACGACGACGACGACGACGACGACGATGACGACGACGCCGCAGAGAAATCTATTCATGCAAAAACAAACTCTCTATTGCTGTTGTTGCTATAAACCATTGCCGCTTATCAAAGGCTCTTTAATAACACTAACCGTGAAACGGCGAGAAGAGTATTTTTCTTATCTAATAGCTTGAATAAAGAATAGTATCGTTGTCTGTGATTAAGATCAGTGTGGTCTATGTAGCTTTAGAATAGACTTTCTCGGATAATATAAGTCAGAAAAACGGTCCGTGATATATATGTACATACATACATAGGTATATAACATCAGATTATCACGTATGTGTGACTTCCGACGTACGGACAAAATTTGTTTACTAATTGACTTCCACTCTTGTACGAGCAACACACGGCGCGTCTTTCAATAAAACGTTTAAAATCGATGTAATGCTTAGAGGTAGGCAGCCTTGAACACATGGCTTTCGTGATATTCATTCATTCATTCATCATTTTTCTTCTTCTTCTTCTTTTATATTAATATTCTTTCTCTCGCAAACGATATAGACTCTTTGATCGAGGCGATAATAGCTTATCTTTAATTGAATTTCAACTAAGATCCTTCTTCCTTCATCACCAGAGGCGCTCTTTCAACGACAAAGAGAAAGAGACATAGAAAGAAAGAGAGAAAGAGAAAACTTCGTAAAAGGATTTAGCATCTTTCTTTCTTTCTTTCTTCTTCTTTTCTTTGCAGATTTTCTCTTTTACAGGAACTCTATAGAGTTTGGGGAACACAGCGGAGAAGATCTTTTTGTCCTTTTACGAAGTATCATCCGTCAAACGGCTCCGTATTCCTCGCTAGACGGTGACTCGTCGCTGGGTGGTGGTCTTGGTGGTCTTGGTGGCCTAGGTGGTCGATGATGATGCACCACAGGTGCTGGTCTTCTAGGTGCTGGTGGTGGATGTGTCCCATACGAAGTATCGTCTCCTTCCTCGCTACTTGGCGATGGCGATGGAGCTCTGTCTTCTTGTTCCTGCAAGAGTTGTCGAAATTCTTGGATTGATTCGTTCAGGGACCAAAGTTGCGAAAGCAAAGAGAGATCCAGTTGTCGTAGACCAAACTGAAACAAAGACAAATGAAATATTTAACATCATGGTTTTAATAATTAACTAAAGATTTGAACGAAATCTTTGTAACATTTGAAATATACGTAACATACAGAACTTGTAGCATTAGAAAAATGAAAATCGTAAATTATGTAAATATTACAACGTAGTTCTTTAACATTTGAAATGCATAATATAGGATTTGTTATATTAAAAAATCAAGAATGAAAACCATAGGATCAACCAAATATTTGAACGAAACAATGTGTAACGTTTGAAATACATGTCTGACTTGTACGGCACGCGGGATAAGGATTATAGAAGTTAAAGAGATAAAAAGTGTATAGTTATCCCATCCGGAAGGTCCTAATGATTATTTCAAAGTTTCACTCGATTCCAAATACGTTGAAATACTCGACTAAGAAGAAATATTGTGTCAAAGCGCCTGGAGGGTCTATCTCGTCCAACATTCACTTTTACCGTGCGAGTCGAGGTAAAATGCTTACTCGTGATTTATGAACCGAAGTGCAACGTTTCCAAACGCCGCCGTACCTGTACTCGTGGGAATGGCAGAAGAGGGAACACACTACGAAAGAGAAAGAAAAGAGAGAGAGAGAGAGAGAGAGAGAGAGAGAGAGAGAGAGAGAGAAAGAGAGAGAGAAGAGGCATAAAATGAGAATGGGAACAAGAATGGTAAACGTGAAGACAGAAAGAAAGAGAAAAAGACAGAAAGACAGAGAGATAGAGAGAGAGAGAAAATGCAGAGAAGGAAGACTAGATGGAGAAGAGGCTACCACCAAAACCAAATGGAGGTGGGGAGTCACGCCTGAGGGAATGCAGCGTGGGAGCGGCTGTGCCAGTTCACCTCTCGTCTGGATTGACTATCAAAATATTAAGCTAACTTTAACATATAACGCATATAAATATATATTTACAAAAGATTTAATTTCTATGATAATTCTTTCAAAATATAAAAACAATTAATAAATAATTACTTAATAACTTACGATAATTCATTCATCATTAAGCTAAACAGTCTAATTATCTGGCATCAATTTCTAACAATGTAAACAGTAATATTGATATACCTACATTGATAAATTAATTCAGATAATAAAAATGTTAATGTTTTCTTTTTGGTAAGATGAGAGAAGAATGAAAATACAAAGAGAGAGAGAGAGAGAGAGAGGGAAGAGAAAGAGAAAGAGAAAGAGAGAGAGAAGAAAAGGACTTAACAACTCGTACGTTCAATCTTTTTCTTCTCTCTCTCTTCCTCTCTCTCTCTCTCTCTCTCTCTCTCTCTCTCTCTCTCTCTCTCTCTCTTTCTCTCTCTCTCTCTCTCTCTCTCTCTCTGCCTCTTTATCTATCTTTCTCTTACTCTCTCTCCCCTTATTTTCATCGCTTCATTTCCCGACGCTTTTAGAACGTCGTCGAATTCATATTCACCGTACTCTACAGTTTACCCACGCACAACCGTGGCCTCGAGGTAACGGGTCGAGCCCCGAGTTGAAAGAAACACAAGAGAATTGTGAACAAAATACGAAGGAACAGGTGACTCCATGTTAGAAAAAATAATAACGAAGTTGACGACGACGATAACGATGATAATATTGTCAACTTCGAGTTATTCTTGAATTTGCTAGGAAAATTCCACGTCGATCGATGAAAAAAAAAATAGAGAGAGAGAAGAGGGAGGAGTAAAGACGCGTTAAACAAACGTGTTGGATTATTCAGAAATGTCGTGGAATTTTCCGTCGACTTTTCCTGTCTGGTAAACAGATTTTTTTTTCTTTTTTCTTCTTTTTATACTACGTTGTGCATTAATGAATCCCATTAGCGCTAATGATCACATCCATTAAAGGATCCAAGATTTTCGTTGAAAAATCTTTAACACAAAATTAGAGGAAATCTATTACCGAATTCTTTAAACACTTTCTCCGCGGATAATTGAAAGTATTACGCGACTCTTAAAGACTGATAGGTGGTACAGGATCGGACTTGGTATCAAATCAACTTTACTCGTAACAAGACGATTAATTTTTTTTTTGCGCCAAGTTATTTGATAATTACCGTCAAATGAAAGCGAATATTTTTTCATGTTACTTAATTGAAAAAAACTCAATAATAAATCAATTCCTAATACTTAACCCTTTTGGAAGATTTTCAATTGTCGATAATGATATTTTACGATATATTATACAAGTTTATCAATTGTTATAACACATTGTTGATCGGCTATTATACGCAAAAAGTAATGCGTTTCATCACGACAATATGATTTATAATTGGATTATAAAATCATTATTATAAAATCATTATTAAATTTAGAAAAATTGGAAATACGTATATCAAAATTAAGGAAACACTATCCAAAACACAATAAATGATATTATAATATTGACTATTACAAAATTTTATACTTTAATAATTATATACGTAAGTAGTATATTGCGTAATCATCCGATTATATGATCAGGTCAACAATATATTAATAGAATTATTTTTTTTTTTATAAAGACCGTTTGATAATCACCATTTCTCTTCTAAGTATCGCCAGTTGAGTATCCAACGTGGTAAGTTGTCTCGCAGGTGGAGAAGGTCTCGAGGTAGAAGTTTGAATTGACGTTTTCCCGCCTCTTTGTGATTTGCTGGATGACCTCGTAGGTGGTGGGGGTGGCTCAGAAGCTCCACTCAAATTAAATCCACTGAGGCTCCTCGGCAACGGTGGCAGCCCCTGCAGGGAAGACATCGCGATCCTCTCTTGTATGCTGCGAAATCAGAAGAAAGAACCGACGATACAACAAGTCGTTCTTTGCGGTTAAAAGAGGAAAGGAAACGACGTACCGTTATACGCGGCTTCGCGGAATAAAAATCGATCGGTCTTTGCCTTCACTGAGCTTCCGACCCCCGTAGAAAGTAAGGAGGGGAACAGAAAATGAAGGGGAGAAAAAATTGGCTGAATGAGTCATCGAGCCCCCCCTTCTCTCTTCTAGCCTTTCTCCAAATAAATTCTTTCCATTTATTTTATGAATTATTTTTGATCGATCAAAATAAGAATACTAATTCTATTCATATATCTCTATTATGAATTCTATATATATATATATAACTACATACTAAATTATATATATATATAATTTAATTAGTACTAAATATATATATATACATATATGTATTATATGTATTATATGTGTATGTATATATATATATATATATATATATATATATATATATACATACTCTTTATTCATAAAGTATTTATTAAATTTATGAATCTAAAGTAATGAATCATTAATATATGCAGCTATTATGTACTTTCTCTAACTGATTATTTTTTAATAAATTGTAATTAAAATACAATCGAGAATATCATATCACATACGTGTATCACATAATATGTATGTGTGTATGTATATATATATATATGAACGTTATAAAATTCGTGATTGAAACATAATCTACAACGTAACATTGATTCAATTGAATTCAAGGGGGCGTCCGAGATATATAGCGTGCCTTACAAATAACTACAGTTCTCGAATAAGAATTTCTAAACCAAGCATAAGATCATAACGTATAGATTATTCGAAGGCCTGGATACATCGTAACCAGTAGATAATTAATACGTTAGTGTTGATACATTCTGTCGATGCCTTTACAGAATGAGTTATATAAATAACTTGTTACTAATCATCAGTAGTAAAAATGAAACAAAACAAAAAAAAAAAACAAAAAAAAAAACAAAAAAAGAAAAAATAAAGAAAATATTGTTATATCCTAAAAAAATTATTTTTTTATAAGTATTCGAATGATATCTTTTTATATTTTATTATTAAACAATATAAATCATGTAAATAGCTTGCTAATCTAATCATCGGTATTTAAAAAAACAATATATATATATATATAAGAAGACATTGCAATAGTTTAAAAAAGAATTATCTTTTTACAAGTATCTGAATAATAATAATATCTTTTTAAATCTTAATTGATTATTGAAACTGTAGATATGGTAGTTGTGAAACACACAAAATAAATTCATCATGCAATTTATCTTGAATTTCTTCCGACGAATAAAACCGTTAACAAGTATCGATGCTACTGTCACGGTCGAACGCTTTCAGAAACGATAGAGACAAAATAGGACGATCGAGAAACAGCCTCCTGTCGATCCTCGATGCAACTCCATATTTTTCGCTCGTATGAATCGTGTTCACTAACACCTCTCCAATTCATCGACGTTGTCTATTTAGAGAAACTATATAGAGAACATTTAACTAATACTACCATCTCCGACGCAATCCAGTTTTACAATATGGCCGATATCGTTGTGAATACTCCGATATTGAGAATTTAGAAAAAAATAATGATAAAATCGATATCAACATTCTTATTTCTAATAATCATTTAAATAATAATTATTGAGTGACTTTTAAATAAATAAAATCGTGATATAAAATCATTAAAAAAAAAATAAAAAAAAAAAAAAAAAAGATTTGTCATTGCATGACTATGTATATAATAATAAAATAAACGTTTTATTCCAAGAGCTATTTGAATCTCAATTAGAATGATAGAGCACACTCTCGAGGTTCCTCTAGCACAGTGAGTACGATGATGATAAATTAGTACCTGACGAAGTCAAGGTCGACGGTGCGTTCGTCCTCGGGACGATCGTCGTATCCATTAACGCGTTCGACGTCAACGGACGAAGATGAGAGGAGACCGTCGGCACCTTCGTCTCCCTGCAAAGTGATCTGCGTGGAGGAATAACGGATACCGGCCTCGAGCCAATCCTGTCGATGAATGTTATTGTCGTTGTCCTCCTCGTTGTACGTGGCTTTACTATGTTCTGATTCGTCAACCACGACTACTGTTCCATGTTTCTCGTCTGTTACACTCGACTCTTTCTCATTTTGTTCATTATCATCACCATCATCATCATTATTATTATTATTATTATTATTATTATTATTATTATTATTATTATTATTATTATTATTATTATTGTTATTGTTGTTATTAATATGGATACTATTCTTATTATTATTATTATTATTATTATTATTATTATTATTATTATTATTATTATTGTTATTATTACGATTCTCGTTGGAAACAGAGTCTTTTCGAGATGAAGCGGTTGATTGTTGGTTACCAGCAGGTGATCTTCGCGTGGGTGTAGGTCGTCCATCAAACTTGCTCATCGTCTTTTCTATGTTCAAGGATTTCTCAGGCCTGATCCTTAGCCGTCCTCTAAATCCTATATCGTTACTTGTTAGTATTTTCGTTTCAGGGCTTGGACGACGTTCGTCTTCGAACGAAACGTTTGACCTAGTAGGATTTTTTGTAAACTCTATCGACGCATGCTCTTCCTTGTCCAATATCTCGAAATCGACTTTAGTGCAGGGTAAATCACCATCAGTTTTTCCAGGTGATCGTCGACCTAAGGAATTAGATTGATCTTTGAAATCCTTGAAATCGGCACGATTTTCAAGGCGTTGTCCCTCCGGTCGAGGATCCTCGATAGTGGCTCCTCCTGTTCCTTCTCCTCCTCTTTTTTCTCGTACGACCACCGGCTCTGTGGAAATATCATTTTGCTCGAGAATAAGTTGACGGTGCCGTCTTTCTCGTGGATTTTCACGACGGTCGCCGTCGTCGTCATTCCTTTCACTCGATACATGACTCTGTTGCTGTTGCAGCTGCTGCTGATGCTTGTCAGCGAGCTGAACCGTGCCGGTATTTGTTGGAGGACTATCGTTTCTTTCTGCTTTCGTAGATTCCTTGATGGATTCGTAGATTATGGTACGTCCACCACCTGGACATCCCTGTTGTTGTTGTTGCTGTTGTTGATCATTCTGATCACGATCAGATCTCCAAGGTTTGGTATTAGGAGGTGGAGGTGCTTGTCTAGTAGGACAGGGTGGTCTAGGTGATCTTTTCAATGCCTCAGCTACCACCTGTCGACTTGGTCTAGGTGGTACCGGTGGTGGGTGAGGTCTTTGAGTTGCTGCTAACTGCATTTTATTTCGACTATCGTCGAATATATAAAAATTTTTTCTTTCAAATAGAACTCTACTGTTTTCGTGATAACGAGAAATAGATATGGCTTATCTTAACCCAATTACATCGCACCTTTCTTTCTTTCTTTCTAAATCAAACATCAGTGCATGCAGAGTATCCAGCAATCTTTCTCGATGTAGCAAAAGACGCCTACGTTGTTTTCTTCGTTTGTTACAAACACATCCTCGGACTTCTTCGTATCTACGAAGAATCTCGTTGTAGCACGTCGTCGTAACTTCGGTGTTCTACAAGATGCGTCATCGGCTTGACGCGATATAAATAGTTACCAGGAAATCATTCGATAGTCTTTCCAATCTATTTTTTTCTTTTTCCTTTCCTCTTCTTCCTTTTTTCTTTGTTCTTTTCTGTTCGTTCGTTACGAAATTGTATTCTCTCTTAGAATAAAAATAAAGCCAAAGAAAATAATAGGATTCGTTTAATTCGCGAGTGCCCAAAGATCTTTTAAAGTGTGGTAGTATTCTTAATTCGTTTCCGCTATCTTTCTCTCTTTATCTCTCTCTCTCTCTCTCTCTTTCTCTCTCTTTCTCCTTTGATATCCCACTCTTGATTCTCTCTATTCTTTTTCTCTTACTCCAAAATCTCGTTATCCTTCCTCTATTATTTCTTTCTTTTGCAGAAGCTTATACCCCTTCACCGAACGAATTTTTGAATTGATCAGATCAATTTCTTCTCGTTTTGGTCAAGTAAGTAATATTTGATTGAAAAAGGACACAAGGAATATATCCTTATCATTTTACGTTGTACAATTCGATGCAAATATTTCGATTGAAAAATGTATCCTCGGGAAACGTAAAAAATTAACGAGAAATTTTATCAAATTATCCGAAAGAATATTCACGTAACAGCAAAGGAGAAAGAAAATCACAGGAAAAAAAACTTTCGAAAAGATATCGTTCTCGGTTAACGCATATCGGTGGAAGTGTTGAGGTATCCAACGATCGAGCGGCTTCCTTCGCAAGATATCCTCCCTACTACTACTACTCTTCGAAGTCCTCTCTCTCTCTCTCTCTCTCTCTCTCTCTCTCTCTCTCTCTCTCTCTCTCTCTTTCTCTCTCTCTCTCTCTCTCTCTCTATCTCTATGTTTCCCTCCCTCCACAAGGGGTCTCCACGAGATTGCACCTTCTCGTTCACCTCCGTCTTTTTTCCTCCAGCTCGGAGGACGGCCCGTCGAGTACTGACTTCGCGATCCCAGAAACATCCTTCGCGTTCAAGAGACCACGTGACTTGCTCGAGCTCGCGTTCTTGGGGGCATCAGGTAGGCAACTCGCTCAGTGCTGGTATTAACCGGCTATGGACGAACACACATCACTATACGTTACGTATATGTATGTGTATGTGTCGTGTATGTGTATATTTCTCTCTCTCTCTCTCTCTCTCTCTCTCTCTCTCTCTCTCTCTCTCTCTCTCTCTCTCTCTCTCTCTCTCTCTCACTCTCTCTCTCTCTCTCTCTCTCTCTCTCTCTCTTTCCTTTTACCTACAAAGAGAAGAGAGAACAGATACATCAGCTATGTTTCTCATGCTTGGTACACGATTGTAGGTGTACCAAGCTCTCGGCATCGTTGCCGTCCTATCAAATGAGAGAGAGAGAGAGAGAGAGAGAGAGAGAGAGAGAGAGAAAGAGAGAGAGAGAGAGAGAGATGGAAAGTAGAAGGAAGACGAAGGAACGAAGAGAGGAGATAAGGGAAGGGACCCATTAGGTGTCCCCTGCTTCCTCCTCCTCCACCTCTTCTATCACGCCGACCTGCCAACCGCCGTTCCAGTGCTGTATATGTTGTCTCTTGGGCCCAACGGGTTTTTCTCTTTTTTGTTTTTTTTTTTCGTTTGTTTTTTATGAAGCATAAAAAACTGAAATATGTTCTTCTTCGAAAATATTTTCTGATTAGTCACTTGTCCTTGCCTTCGCTTGGTTATACGACTTTCTATGATACATTCTTGGACTTTCTTCATAATTCTCTCTTTTAATTGACTTTGAGATTTGTTTAAACTTGTCAGATGATTAAGAAGCACGATTATATTTCATTCGTAACGCAACCCGATTTGTTCAAAACGATATGCATGTATATAAGGGATATAAATCGATTTGACCTTGAAAACGTACGAAAGAATTAACACACGTCTTACTTAAAAGAATATTTTATCGCATCTCGGAACAATGCATTGCACGAACGATTACAACACGACTTAGTGATGATGATTGAATTACAATGTTTCCCTTTTTTTGTTTCTTTTTTTGTTTTTTTTCCTTTTCTTCTCCTCTTTTTTCCTTGTTTCCTTTTTTTATTTAATAAACGCACGCACAATTCTTAATCGTTATTGCCATGTCCGACATTTCGTTCTCAATTTAATTGATTTATCGATTTACGTACATACATGTTTCTCCATAATGTTCAATTACATTATCTTATCGAACTTCCTAGATTTAACAAGGTTAGAGAATACAATAGAAGTAATTAGTATCATGACACTTTAAAGAAATCATTTCCTCCATTACTGACAAGAAAAATCGCTTGTACAACACACGTGCAAAGCACGCAAATCAGACGCTCGTATTATAGGTCACGTGTGTCGTCGTCGTCGTCGTCGTCGAATACCTAATTAATAATTCAATGAAATTCTTAACAAGTTACACGGAATGGCTGTATAACATGTAAAAAAACAAAAGAAGGACAAGGAAAAAAGGTAAATGGATTTTTTCTTTTGACCAGAAGCATGTATTCAACTCAAAGTGTATAAAATTCATTTATTAAAATTGTTAAGTAAAACTTTTACCGAAAAAAAAAAAAAAGAAAAAAAAAACTTTCGATGATTAATATAATTATACTGAAAATTTTTTGTATTGTATTTTGCATAAATATTTTGCATGTATAAAATTACATGCATTATAAATATATAGAAAATGATAATAATTTGTGAATATGATACAAATATTTTATTATGAAAAAGAACAAAAATTATTTAAACAATACTCCAATGCTTAATTCAATACTTTTTATAGACATATATCAGATGTTTAGAAGTAAAAGTTAATTTAAATGTTATTTTATCTAACCTCAAAAATGGACTTTCGATGATTGATATAAGTATACATATATAACAACGAATTATAAAATAAATTGAATGGTCAGTATATTGAATCGAGGAAGAAGAGGACTATGCTGACAACTCGATTTCGCTCCTTTCTACTGCATTTTGCTCGATTCTCGAGTCAAGCAAAATCGTTACGCATCCTGTCTGGCATTGAATAACACACGCGCGTTCCACTCACTTCGCCTCGGTTATTACGAATGAAGAAAATTGTTTACATATGTATAGAAGATGATGATTTTCTAACGAAAACGAATGTGAATTTCTCCGTTTGTATTATATTATCTTTTTTATTTATCTGATCGACGTCAGTTTTATAAAATTTTTTTCAACGATTAATACAATAACACATGATTTTTGTTTATAAATAAATAATTATTTTTATAGATAGAAACTTGACGATCAAAAGTTGAAGAAAAAAACGTTATGTTACGTAAACGAAACTGTGTAAGTAGGAGGATCATTGAGGGTTTTACACATCGTGCCGTTACGCTTCGAACGCAGTGCAATTTAATCCAACACCTCGTATTTAGCGCCAACGCAAGATTTCGCGGAAAGCTCGCGCGCTTTTCAAAAGATATAGTGCCATATCTTACATCACTATGATATCATCGTTGTTGGAATTTTTCTATATATGGCACTCGTTAGAAAACATGTTATTGATCATTTAAAAAATATGTATATAAAAATCCTAATTTTTATTTAAAAAATCAAAAGAACAATCTATAAATTTAATCATTTATAACTTGATGCAATTTTCAAGGCACACATACTTATATATACATATACATATATATATATATATATATATATATATATTTTGTAAGTTTAATTTCATTTTATTTTCATATAATTAATTACTTCATATCAAAAATTGGCAATCTTTTGTAATCATAAATTATACTTACTATAGTTTAATTAATACTATAACTGCTATGTTACGTATACATATATATATATATATATATATTTTTTTTTTATAAAAATAGCAGAAATTAGGTTATAAAGGATTAATAAAGACAAATTCTTTATTTAACGGAATTAAATTCTAATCGATTCAAGTAGCACGTATAATAGAAGTCGAGGGAATGTCTTACTGAATTCGTTATGAATTATTACCATAAAATCCTAACCTAATCCGATCGTTAATGTAAAGAAATGTAAAGTTGATGAAAACGTGCGGCAACCGAGACTAACGCGTTTAATAAGTTTATTATGATAACCTAAATAGAAGACCGCTTTCTTCGATCTATTCTGCGCTCGTGACCTACTATAAACATAGAATGGATGGATATGTTACGTTACGGATCATAAACATACAATTACGCGTTACGAGTCTTAAGTGTAACAGATCAACGCCCTGTGCATAAAAATGAGAGAGAGAGAGAAAGAGAGAGAGAAAGAGAGTGGGAGAGGAAGGAAAAGAAGGAAAGAGAGAGAGAAATTCATATATGATCTTCATATATATGCATACGTAAATAGATACTTACATATTCCCTCATCTACACGTTATCTCGTTCGGCTTATCGGCCGATGTGTGTGACGCGTAATGTGAGCGTAAACAACTTTCGTAGTCGGCAACCGAAGCCATAGATGTGAACGGCACGATAATCGTTGAATTCTTAAATCGAACGAACGCCGTAGCTACTTCTCTCTTCCTTTTTTTTTCTTTTCTTTCCTTCGATTCGTGGTACGCTTTCCAAGAAGTTAAGGAAAATTCTATCTCCTGATTAATTCCAACGAAGAAGGCCAAATTACGAGATACTTTCTAAACTCACACGGTTTATACCGAGACGATATTACGGAAAGACAAAAAATTCTATCGCAAATTTGTTCTTTCTTCCCTTGGAAAATGAAAAAAAAAAAAAAATAAATAAATAAATAAAATAAAATAAAATAAAATAAAATAAAATAAAATAAATAAATAAAAAAAATAAAAAGAAAAACAAAATGACGATGTTTGTGCGATCGGAAGAGCGCGAAAATTTAAGAGACCGTAGGTACTATCGTACGAATGACTTTCGATTGATATATTGTGATTATCATTGAGAAGGGTTCATGAACTTTCACAATTGGATGAATGAGAAAGTATGTTAGTGCGTTACGCATTTACCTGATTATTTGGTGCGTGCTGACACCTGCGGGAACATCGGGAAAACATTTACTCTTTGAACTTCCATTCCTGACGACACATAGGGCACAGATGACTGGTTTGCTGAGAATGCAGCCACTTCATGATGCAATGAATATGGAAACAATGCGAGCACTGCCCCCAAACTGAAAACACGAATCTTTAGTTAATTGTTAAAAGTCAAGGGTTTAAATATTTGACAGAAATTTAAAGGGTTCAATATGATGAGATGATCAGGCCACAGGAACGCGTACCTAGTGACGACAACCGACAAGCCGTTTCTTAGTTCCGTTTACATGAGCGCGCGCGTGTTAAATGCGCACGAAAAGCAAGGGGGAGAGGACGTAAGCGATCCCTATTATTCGACACCGGCATTCCGATCGATATTACGCCAAACTCTCAACGCGCAGATGCCAAAGCGGGAATTTACGAAGATGTACGAACTAATTCTTTTTCTTTTTTAATTATTTTACGATCATTTTTGTCGTCGATATTTTACCAAGATAGTGAATTTACATTTAGTTTTTATTAGAGATTAATCATAACAATGATTTATCCATAATTTAATCATAATAATGATTTATGAATTTCAAATTTGATAAAACAAAAAAAAAACAAAAAATGATTATCTAAACAAAGGATAGAATTTATACACGATTGTTTCGAATATATTTTTTTGTTGAAAATAAGTTTTTATATAATTAAATATGTAATACAATAAATAAATTGTCAATACCTAAAGGACAATCATCTCCCGGTATTTTGCAGTCCGGGCAACTCGCATCGAAAGGCATCCGACAAATTCCGCAGTTATCATCGTTAGCTATCCAACGCCAGGTGGCGACACCTGTCCAGCCTAAAAAATCAACATTTGTTAATTCGATATATTTGTTTCACAATATTATTCTTTTCTTACAAAGATATATATAAATATACTTACTTTTTATTGTGACTTTCATTCTGATACGTTTTGAATTGTACAGGTAGATTATCGCACGATTTATTTGAGTCACTAATTTAAAAGGTTAGAATATAGAAGTTCG